TGCGCAAGGAGACAAACAATTTTTGCGCGAGAAAACGTGGAATATTCCATAATTAATTTCGTTCTGGTTCTTTTCTCCAAGTACTGTACTGTATGGGTCCTTAATAATTCCCTCTGAAATGTTCCTTTCATTGTCCGATGACTAGGATGGAACTGCAAATAAGAGGGAATTGTGACCGTGAACTAGAACCCTCCGGATCCACTAGTTATTCAAAAGAAACGCATCGAATATAGGACTTTTCTTTCTTAAATTGCAGTTTTTTCATGTAGAAAATAAAGTCAAAGATTTCTCAGAAGAATGAAAACTTGAAGGGACATTTTAGAATTTTTAAAAGTTAACCCAGGCTAGTTGAAATGTCTTCGTGCCCAGCGTAGGGTTTCAAATCACGCTCCCATTTGGAACTCTGTCCGAATGGAACAGGGATCAGAAGAACATTTTCGAAAACAACATTAATGTCCTGCAGTGAATTTTGAGCGTGTTTCTAAAGACTTGGAGAACACAAAAAATATGAACATATTAATTATATGTCAAGAGCGTCACGCGAAGTTGAAACATTTCGCGACAAAAATGACCTCGTAATTAAAATTGCCCTCAAAAGCTGCTCGTAAACCTCTTTTTGCTACATCTAAATGGCAACCAGCGGTCAAATTTTAAGCATTTCTTCATCTTCAAGATTACAAGTGGACTCTCTCTACATTGAAATTAAAGGGACCAAAAAGAAGTAAAGAAAAAAAAAAAAGCTAGGGAGCTCCCTATAACGAGAGAATTTCATTATAAAGAAACCCTATAACATGGGAAAAGAATCCTGTATATGATCAAAAAATTCGATTTACAGAGAAAATGTATGTAGACAGAGTTCACCTGTATTATTCAGATTCATGACCTTCTCCCAAACATTCGAATTCTTCCTGCGTTGCTAATTTGAGTCTACTTTATTTTAGAAATTTATTAAAAACTCCAGAAAAAAACATTAGAATCTCGAACCCAGTTCTTGTTTAATTAGTTTTATTTTATTTGTCTGACTGCGGTGGAAATGAGTTAATATGCAAGGGTTACGTGGTTCGCGAAGCTAGTATTCACGCGCCGAGTTCTCAACGTCGTCGCTGTCACTTTTTGACAGCTTATGCACTCGACACGTTTCAGTTCGACGCAACAAACTCAATTATTCATGGGGTTGACTGTAAAAATTGTCGCTGCTTTTAAAAGCGCTCATCCGGATCAGACTTCTGTCATCATCTCGCAATTTTTCAATTGAAGTTTTTAGTCCAATCCTGGGATGACTGTGAGGCAAAGTCGCAAAACAGCATAATTGTCTCTGGTGGAAAATTTCAATGATGATTACATTAATCAGCCGGGTTGTGACCAAGAATGTACTTCGACAGGAATACCGTTGAAGTATATTTCTATAATTTCCCTCGATTCAAGTTATAAACATGAGCTAATGCGACAATCGAACACATACAGTATGAGAATAACACAATCCTGTTTATTTAAAACTGTACTGTATATTTAAAAAAAACTGCAGGTTATGAAAAAAGTGGCTTTGCATTTTAGGAATGGTGTTCAATTCCAATCAGTCTAGCTACTCTAGCAAGTAAGACTTTTTTTTAGAAAAATTTGAAAGTATTTTCGTTCAATAGGCCTCATTTTCCAGGCGAAAATCAAATATTCAACGCTTGCAAAATTTTATTCCTAAATTGGCTTCGGCGATCATCTCCAAAATTATTTGCTGTCTTTATTCATCCGGCCTTGGTGAATGTTTAGCCAGGAAATAACTGTCTAATTCGTAGTATAGTTGGACTCCATCTACAACGAACTTAAAGAGACCTGCAAAATTCGTTGTAAAGAGAATTTTGCTGTTGGGAGTCTCTGGAGCATGAGGAAAGANTTTATGAGAAGAATTTGGGTCGTTCCCGAACTTTTGAACTACGTTCTTGCAGGACTTTTAAAATTAGGATGAGAATTTATAGTTTTTATCAATCTTTCTCCGGGATTTTCAACCGGTGCACGTACATCATACGTGGGTTTGACGAGTTGTCCTCGGAACTTCGGCGCTCACAAATTTTTTTAACGCGGAAATATTTTTTTCCGCTGGAATTTGAAATTAACTTGGTTTTTCAATCACAGAAAACGTTCATTTTTTTTTTTAAATGTACAATGATATCGAAAAACCATTTCCCGTTGCGCATTTGAGGATAAATTGCCAATGGTTACGTTATTTTGAAAAAATCCTGGCTTTAAATAAAGGAAAGAATCGCGAAGATGGAATTATATTTATGAACTCCCGAATGCTTAAAGTGGTTTAAAAAATTAAAATCTGCGTGTGCCCGAGAAACAAAGAAAATATACTGTACAACTGCATTGTATGTTTGTTGTTTTAGAGCATTCTGAACTATTTTTTACAGCTGTAGTGTAAATAAATTGGTTACTTGACCATGCTAAATTTTGTTGTATTGAATTCCATGGTAAATCCGCCTGAAGTTGGGGGATTGTCTGATAACAACTTCCGGTGCTACAATTGATTGTACTGCACGAAAAATGAGCACATGTCAACTGCGAAGTATTGGCTCACGTTTCTTTGCTTCTTTTGAATTTTCATTAATGACCCAATATGCAATACGTTGTAAAATGTATCGTTAAGAACTTACATTGTTGGTTTAAATATTTATAGAGATATCAGGTTAGAGTTATCTTGGCAACAAAAAGACTGCCACAGTACATGGCAAGTACGATATACAAGATAAATAACCAAGACTGAATAAGTACTCCGAAAATTTTCCTCATTTTTTCCAACTGTAAATTTCTTGTCTCTGACAGTCCTCAACATTTATTTCGAGGTGCCCAAAATTTGCACGAAAAGTACTCAATTGCAACATAAAAATTCAAGTGCCATTTCATTTTATAATATTTGATTTACCAAATTTTATTCCTAACAATCTGAATGAGCCTTTGAGCCAAAGTACCGGAAATATGCTTTTCCAATGCCTAAATTTCAAATATGAGTGGCAATGGTTCATGAAGTGAATGGTACCCTGAAGTGGAATCCTTTTTTTTAATCAGGGTTCTTGTACAACCCTTGAAACCGTTTCAGGATGAATAAAAAAGCGAATCAAGCTTGTTTGAGGGATTTTTCTAATTGCGGCTTTGTTCGAAGGAGAACATTTGAATTAATTTACTGAGATATCAGCATCGTAATACTGTACCGTATATCAGTCGATTCTTCGAACCAGGGGGGGGTTACGTGCTGCTGTCATAACCAGTTACAGGAACATTAATTGCGAATTTACTTCATAGATAAATTCCTCATGCCTATAATAAATAAATAAACAAGCTGCAAGGTTAATCGATGGGCCGTTTCTCGGAATCGGGAAGTCGATCCATTGATCGGTTTTTTTATGATCTTCCATATTACGAGTATCGAAGGCAGATTCCAGGAACGGTCATGAACTGTCTGCTCGTGGCTCATTGATATAATATTCATCATTGTTTCATAACCGTGATGTTGCCAGCACGAAGAGCTCCAGTTTTCCCCAAGCGTTAGCGAATTTAACATACGGTAATAACAGTTGCATTGTATCCCTCCCTGTGTTATATTGATATAATATTCATCATTGTTTCATAACCGTGATGTTGCCAGCACGAAGAGCTCCAGTTTTCCCCAAGCGTTAGCGAATTTAACATACGGTAATAACAGTTGCATTGTATCCCTCCCTGTGTTATGAAAAACCTGTTTGACAAAGGAGCAAAATTTTTTATCTCCGCTAATCGTTTCGAAAATGTATTCCGTACGACCGGCGTTGATCAGAGGTTTGTATTATTCGATCATGAGCAGAAAAGTTATTTTTTAAAATTTATTCAAAGGAGTATACGACAGAAGAGAGTTGATACATTTAAGCAAATGGAACAAAATGAATCTATGTACGAATACCATATGCTTATCTATCTTATGTACAGTTCTTAATTATATGTCAAGGAATCAGAGGCAATTTTTTTTATGAAAACCGTTCTGTACCTTCGGGGGGAACGAATTTCAACGATCGAATGGCCCATTTTGGGGGATTTACGTGCATCTAAAAGAAAATATTTTCTGAAAATATTAGGCAAATTCTCATTGGGTTTCGTTGATCATGCGAGAAAAGCAGCTGGCTATAAATCACGCATCCAAAAAAACAAATTACTGTAACGGAGGATTGAATTTTCTTCCTTTTTTTTCAACGATTATCAGTTCAATTGAACACCGGATGGGCGCCTCGCATAATGGCCTCTTATTCGGACAATGGCTGCCACCGATTTTTGCTTTGCGTGTTGGACACCGGTCCGAATGATCGACTGAATGTAGAAAAAATTTTCCGCAGATGTCGAATTTCTCAAAATTCTGTCATTTTCAATTTTAGATAAGACAAACTGCTTTTTATATTATTGATTATTTTGACAATTTTTCTACTTTCTTCTCGTTTTTTGCTAATTTTTGTGCATATAGATCGTGCACCCATGTTTTAATTTATTAAAAATTCGTGAAAAATTCTTCTCGAGGGATCTGGAAAAAACGAAACGTTCTATATTTCATCGCCGTGGTGAGCCAACATACTGAAGGGCAAATGTTTTATTCATTAATAATTTCAACTGGCGATCGAACAGGCATGAATTGCTAATCACAGAATTGCACTATTAATATAAAAATACGAGCTTGCTCTTCAATTCGCTGTCAAAGATGTGTAAATTATATTCATCCATTATATTTAGTTACAAGAATAATGGAGCCTTCTGAAGGTAACATTTATTGTGGTATTAATGCTTCACCGAACTGAAGATGGATCGATCAGCAACCGCAACTGTCTTCATATAAAGCCGGAAGAAATGAAACTCCGAACTGGATTCGTATCACATTCCTTTTTAATAACTCAATTCAAAGAAGAAACACGAACTCATTGACCAAAAAACGCAACAAAAAAGTATAAAACAAAACCAATAAATGCCACAAGCAATCGCCCGGCGCCTCGGAATAAAATCTAGAGAAGAGCCACCAGTCAACGGAATATCTCGAATTCTGCTTGATTATCGTGATCAAATCAAATCAATATCGGTCGGTGGGCGAGGAAAAAGAAAAAAAAGTTTTGAAGTGGACCAAGTCGCGCTCCAGAGCAGCTTTAAATTCGGTTGAGGAAAAATCGAATTTTTTTTTTTTTTGGGTTCACAGACTTTTGAAGCATTTTTTTTTCTCGAAAAAATATTTGAATCTTTTTTTCTTTTCCATTCGACTTACAACCTGCACTGGCCGTTTCCGAGTGATCCACGGAAAATTTTCCTCACTTCGCGTAAAAAATATATCGAGGAATGAGTCTTTGGCGAGTCGCCACGAAATCCAACAAACAAAATCTTGAATCCTTTTTTCTTTTATCCCTTGTTCAAATCCAATTTTTCCCCCTCCTCGTATGTGTGTGTTCGTGTCGGTGAGCTCGTTGATGACGGTGGCTAGGTCGTGGGACAGGCAACCATAAATCGACACTGTCGATTAATCCACGAGGGGTAATCTTTGCTGGTAAAAACCGACACTTTCGTGATGTGTCGAGATTTCGTTTTTTTTTTCTCCCATAGGTTGCCTCCCGACAAACTCCTCCATCCCAATGTCGCGTTCCTCCGAAATAAATCTCGTTGACCTCGTTTTTTGTCCCTCTCCGGAATGACGTCGGGCGTCAACAACCTTTTTCTTCCTCTCTCTCTATCAATATCTCTCTCTCTTCTTCCTTCATAATCCCTCTCTCACATTCTTGTGTTTTTCTTTTTGTGCCAAAAATTCGGCTGGAATTCGAGCGCCGATGATTGTTGCTTCAGTCTGAAAGAAAAAAAGAAGAAAGATACGTATCATTACCTCATTCTTGAGAAAAGGAAAGATTCTGTCCAGTTGACAATCCGATCGATACTATATAACAGGGTTCTTGTTCACCTTGAGCAGGTCCACCGACCCGAGTTTTTTTTTATGCTTTCTAACCAACAATTTATCCGTTATCTAATTGCGGAAGTGTTAAGCTCAAACAAGGTGATCGTGACGTCACAAAAAATGTAACGATGAACAGTAATTTTATAGGATTCTAATCAGCAGCATCGAGTTTTGTTTAAAGAAAATTGACTTTTTTCGTCGAAGGAAAAAAGACCGTAGTGAATTGTGAGTGGTTCTATGCTTATTCTGATCTGAATATCATGTACAATATAATATTTTGTTTCAATCGTGTTTCAATACACTGTACTCATCTTTATTAATTGCTTGTATTTACGCTTTCCGTCGTAAGAAAATATATTTTGAAGTTTTTTTTTTTCATTTTTGCTTTCAGCAACGACAATTCTAATCTGAATATAATGCATACGACTTTGTATTGTGTTTCAACGGACAATTTTTTGTAATTGCCAGTATTTGCACTTTGCCGTCGAATAAGGGAATATATTTCAACATTTTCTTTTATTTTTTGCTTTCAACAACGACAATGTTAGCTTCTCGGATGTTCCTCACGTTGATCATATTTTTAAATGCGTATTTCTCCTTGAAGTTGAGGGAAATGAAGTGGCATGGATCGAAATCGCACATTCTTTCCATCGAATTCGAGTGTTCTCAGCAGCAGTTTCCAATTGCATTGAAATGAGTTATCAAGTCTTCGTTGTAATGATAGCAAAACTCACAAGCTGGATTTGGGTTGAGCCGGAAGCGTGGTTCAGCGGGTGTCCACGGGCAAGCACGGCCACGGGGACTGACACGAATGCGATACGATGGAGTAAAGCCGGAGGAAGTGGCGGTCATCCTCGCTCAGGTCGTCCTTGTTGGACGCCCAATGGATGAGGATGCAGCCGACGTCGAGGGGATGCGACCCTGTTCCTTCGCGGTCGAGTCGTGGCATCGGCTGACCCGTGTTGCTGCTTGCTGGCTCGATCTAAAATATTCAAAATAAAAAACAAGAAACTTTAATTTTTTGAAATTTCACGAAATTATGCGTCGTGCAATTTCGTAAAATAAAACTCCTTGGATAAACCCTACTATCGTGGAGTTACGAAGGATTGTTTATAGTTTTACGCCGGTACTTGGGGTAACCGAGTGTCTGAGTCAGAATCTCGCAAAACGAATCGTGCAATTTCGTAAAATAAAACTCCTTCGATAAACCCTACTATCGTGGAGTTACGAAGGATTGTTTATAGTTTTACGCCGGTACTTGGGGTAACCGAGTGTCTGAGTCAGAATCTCGCAAAACGAACTTCTGAATAAAAATTTAAAAAGAGAGACCAGAAACAAACTCGTTCTTTCGAAACAAAATTTCCTTCCGAGAATCTTCTTGATGTACGATGAGATCAACGATGAGAATTGAGCCACATCCTCTCGTCATGTTCTAAATATTTTTGCTGAATCGCAAATGCCATTTTAGGGAAACCTTTACATTCATCATCAATGACACGAGTATTGCCACAATGAACACAGCGTTTATTTCATAGGAACCTGGTTGACATATCTGGGACACGGTCATTGAGACAATTTTTCATTACAGTACTGTATTTGATTTTACTTAGGGGCGACAGTTTCATCGCCTGCACATTTTTAAAGAACGCAGAAATCACCTTTCAGTTTTTAGCAATGTGTCAATTTTCATAGTTGAAAACGCTCGACTTCGCCTGAATCGACGAGTCGTAAGTGAAATTTTCAAATGTTCACTTTAGAATATGCCAATTTCTTAGTGAAATAACCTTTCAATTTCTAGCGATGTGTTAATTTCCATAGTTGAAAACGCTCGACTTCGCCTGAATCGACGAGTCGCACGCCTTTTAAAAGCTGCCTTTTTTAAAAGCTAAAATAATGCGCGTGACGCTGTCCACTTATCAGAGTTATATTCGTGGGATTGCCGAGTTTCCCGAGCTAAAAAAAAAAAAACACTGTAAAAAAATTCTTGGGCATTCATGAAAAACTTCAGGAAGTTTTTTAAGGTACCCGACGAACTGATTTAAGTACGTCGAACGTCGGCGGATTCCGCGAACACACGGCCGCCTTTCCTCGAATTCGGAGAAATGGTCACGATTTAAAGATTGGCGGTTTTATATCTCCGAATAAGCATCTTTCCAGTCGTTCGAGGGGGGGATTGGAGAAAATTTATGCTGCACAGTAGGTACAATTTCCTGGAAAAAATACCAGCTGATGTGGCATTTAGGTTGCTACAAAAGAAGTCGGACGTGTGGTGGGGCGGTAACGAAGTAAAACAAAAACAAAAAAATGAGGATTTAATTCCATTGACTGCTGCGTTGTAATGCGAATTGATCGCCGACATCAAAAGAGAGAGAGAGAGATAGAGAATAAACAAAAAAATTTGGGCTCGAAGCCTCGGAACCTGATTCCGACTTTCAAATTGCCACTGAGAACCCGCATGCTTTATCGTGCTTGCACCACGGTCGACGCAACTCAAAAGCTGGGATCGAACGGGCCTCTTGCCTTGATTTCGTTTTCTTGGTGTCGAGGAAGGGGAAGAAGTGGGGGGGATTTGATTTCATTTGCAAATCGAGGCACAAACACGGTTGTGCTGCAACTAGACAGAGCCATAAAAATGCTCGGAATTCCGTGTCTCACTCGATTGTTACCCGACCTCGGCGGAATTTCCTTTTTACCCAATTCTTTTCCGACACTCTGTAGGTGATCCCCTCCACAACACTTATCACATTGGAATGAATTGAAGTGTTTGAAAGAAATAACCTAAAGAAATACAGCTGCTAGAATCTTCTTTGAAAATCTTTTTTTCCCTTCCTTTCTGGTGAAAAAGAATGAACTTCAGAATGAGCTCAAGATGAAAACACTCGACTCCCGTGCAAAATATTCATGAGAAGTCCATTGCTTCTGAAAAGGTTTATCTTTTAAAATTTGCTAGAATGTTGCCTAGATAAAATGCGATCGAAGAAGTCTTCATTGGGGACCGATTATCTCATCTCGAAGAATATTCATAAGCCACTTTTTAACTATTTATTTAGAGAATCAGACAATTTTTTTCGAAGTTTACTCCAGGTAATAAAAAAAGAGGATTTCTATGATTTATATTTTTATTCTGCGAATAACAATCACGATTTCACTCGTTTAGGAAATTAAATCATTAGTTTTCAGGTCATGTACATAAATTGTATCTGAATAATGAGATCAATAAAAAAACAACTCCTCGAATGCTTTTTCGTTTCGCGGATTACATTCACGAACGATGTCACTTTAACAATTATCTATTATTCAGCATGGAAAATAAGTTTCCTGAAAAACAATTTACGAGGCGGAACCGGATTGTTCTTTGAAAAAAAAAAAAGATTTTTTAACGAGAAAAAAAACCGCCTGTGACCTCAGTTAAATTCTGTTTTCAAAGGAAAAATACCGTTGGTGTCCATCCGATCTCGTCGACCTCGTCATGAAATTTGTTCGTGTCGTCGCATAAATCTGCGACGAGTTTCCGAATTTAATAACGATAACGGATTGGATTTCCGTCAAAGAATCGGGGAAAATATAAAGAAAAGAATGCGAGAAAGTCAAACGAAAGGTATGAATGAAAAACATGTTGATAGGAGGCGACTTCCGGTGAGGGAATAATATCCGGGATTCTTTAAACCCGGTAATTCTGACCTCGTAAGTGCTAAACTGATTGAATATCGCTGCACACAAAAAATATTGTAAAATTTAAAATTTCAGGGATTGAGTGGATAACATGCTAATTCGAAAAATGTTATCAATTTCAAAAATCCTAATCTCGAAGCACACAATTCGATCCAATCAAATGACAACAGAATAATTTGACCATCCTGGCAATAATCGGAATATTTCTATGAAAATAGCGCCTATTCTTGGAGAATTAATTTGAACTTTCGAATACACCAGTTCTTCGCATTTATTTAAAATAAATTTCTGGTTCGACCATCGTTTCAATGTTGGAAAATCTAAATAATGTATATCTTGAATTTAGGCTGATCCATTCTGAATACACTGAAAAGGAAATAATTCGACCGTTATTGAAATTATTAATAAGTCCATAAAAATACGCCATCTAGAAGCAAAAATGTCATGGAAAATATTGTCAAACGCAGCGGCTGGTTGATATTAGCTAGTGGTTCACCGATGGTCCAATTCAAAAAATTGAAAATAAAAAAATTCAAGGTGCATGAATGACTCGACACCCGTTCGGGTGATGACAGCAGCTCACAAGAACCAAACGACGACGAGCTGCAATCGAGTCGACGAAGAGGGAGAACTAGAAATGAGGCCAGACTGAACCCCTTCCGCGACCCAATGAGAACCCGGCGTTTAATTGCTGCCACTTCCTCTTTTTCTCCTTCCGAACTAAGCGAGTCGGATCTGGTTCTTCGAGGCTTTTTAATAAGGATGATCTTATCCGGGGTTCTTGTCTTTGAATTCTTCCGACGAGTCGGAGGATAATTAGATTCAAACTTGAGAAACCTTGTTGGAACTCAGGCTTCGCCTTTTCAAGCGATCAATTATTAATTTGTGCATCGAATGTCACACACGTTCCCCCCCCCCCCCCCCGTCTCGATTTTGCTGTCCTAATCGAATACTGTACAGTCTTTTTTACGCAAAAGTTGAGGTGCTTCTTAAATAAAATAAATTTCAAAAATCCGCGGAATTCTGAAAATTCTCGAGATCCAGAAAACAATGAGGAGAAAAATAGTTTACTATGCACCACTCTTTTTTTCTCTTGTACAGTAATAAAAAAATGATCTTGAACGATAATTAGAACACATTTTTGATTCGTGGAACGCAAAATTTGATTGCATACGAGGTACTCATGCCTTGTCAGATTCTTAATATTGACTTCATGGAAAGGTTTTTTTTTTATTTCAAACATCAGTGCATGGATGCCCTGGAAATATTTATTGGTTTATATATTATTTTGTTTATTCTTTACCTTGCGAAGGGTTGATTTTTGTGAAATTTGTGAATTTTTAAGTTCGGTTTCAAGTTTTCGAAATTGAGTCGTGCTAGAATGAGCGAGCGCTTTTTTTCTGGACCCAATAAAGTGACAAATAGTTTAACCTGCAAATTAATTTTCTGCACATCTTGACTCATGTAAAAAAATTTTCAAATATTTATAAAAAATCTTCAAAATGCTGCTTGTATTTTTTTCCCCGGAGGGTTGAATTGAGCATGGTACTCAAGATTTTCTCCGTTTCCTAGCGATTTTCCACTCGACCATCCGGATGAAAATCACTCCCAAAAAATTACGTCACGCGATAAAACGCCGTGCTCTCGTTTGTCAATCGCCGCCGTCTTTCCGTTCGTCAAATAGAAACGACAGAAAGAAAGCGTGTGAAAGGGTTAGAACACGAGACAGTCTCTTATGGCAGAGACGAGGTGGAAATCGAAGCCTGCACCATGTCACCGGGATCATCGCGTGGCCTCGTGGTTAAGCCGGGTTCATCACTGCATCCGCATAAGGAACGGGGTATAGGGAATCCGTGTCTTCTTCTTCTTCTTTTTTTTCTCCGCATCTGAGAGACGCGAAACTCCTGCAAGTTATTTATGACGAGTCTCGGATGCATGCTTGGGTTTCGTTTTATGAAAATCATTGAAATCAGCTTCCGACTACTGTTCGTTTAATGCATGTAGCCCCTCTGAACGCTCCGAAAAGGCTGAGCAATTTTTAAAAGAATGCAGGTGGTCTCTCTCAACGAAAAAATCAGAGGGCCAGAAAAAAAAAATCGTAAATATAATTTCGTTGCAGAGAACCTCTATAATATGAGTACTGTTGTAACCTCAATGAGACCAAAAAAGTTGTTACAGTATATGGTACAGAGAAAATCATTGTAGGTACGATTTTTGTTACGAGATGCTTAAGCAGCCTGAGAAGTCTTCCTAAATTTGAAAAAAAATTATTCAGTTTGTAAATTGATCCATGATTGAATGCCCAGAGAATTCTCAGAATCCGCATTGAGGACTACGTAGTTCTGGATGCCTATAATTGGACTTCAGCTTAGTTTGAAATCATTGTACAGATACCGACTACTGTTCGTTAGTTTAACTTTTTTGAATGCTCCGAAAATGCTGAAAAAGTATGTTTGGATGTATTTAAAAATAGAAAACTTGATGGAACTCTCAAAAAATTGCTTCTTGGAATGCGTTTGCAAAAACATCAGGAAATCAATTTGTTTCTCTAGCGGGATTCCTCTTGTGTTACAGTTGAATGGAAGCAGAAAATACATTTATTTATTTGAAAACTCGCTTTCTAAAAGATTAAGAGGAACCGTATTGTTTCTATTTTTAAAATTCTAATTTGAGAAAACGTATCGAACTGAGTACAAAAAATGTACGAACTGAATTTCTTGTACTGTGCTGAAAAATCTTCCAGGTATTTATTCGGAAGCAGAAATTCGGGGCATTCTCAGAAATGTCCGTTTGTCTTTTCTCGGTGAGGTCTTGGCGTGTTTTTGAATGAAAGATAAAATGAAAAAATTGGGGTGCTTTGCAAAAGTAACTTGATTTTTGGGATAAACCCCCTTCACTTTTCGTTTCTGTCGTTTCTCGGGACTCATTGTCGAATCTATTCTGTCACCATTCGACGCCGCGTTCTGGATTCGGAGCCGCTTTTGTTTTGCTTATGGGGGTGTGGAATACCAGCTCAACACCAGTCAAGAAAGGTCACATCGTCCTTGAGTGTTTTCCCATTTTGATTACTTTGTTTCCACAGCTTCTGCACAGCATTCTTTTACGCAAGAAAATTAGGTGCTGGTTGTTTTTTTATTTTTGGATCGGAAGAATACAAATAATCGAAGGAATATTTCTTGCGGAAATATTGAAGAAGTCCCATTTTTTTCGTCTTCTAACGTTTCGCGATCATACTAAGTTGATGACCCACAATCGAAATTCAAGAATTAGTTTTCGATGTGGGCTGTCCACAAGTTCTGAAAGTCTAGGCTCTAGGCCTCTACGGTTTCCCTCATCGGAACCCTGATCGACGGAAGGGCATGGAGATAATTTTTGCGAAGTCCACTTTCAGGAAAATTGCACTGTCCAAATCATTGCTCACAAATGCTGGAGTTAGAGAATGTATATAATTTTTGAGTACTGTGCTGTACTTTACTGAGGAAACTTACTTTGGGTCATCCCTTCGTGTTAACTCTTCCTTCGCTGTGAAATTTTAATCGGCTAGTTCGCGAGTTTTGAATAAGATGATTCTGATATTTTCCTATCATAGATTAATTTTGATCGGCTCGTCTTGCTGCAAGATTTTCTCTGGCGAAATGTGACGATAAACTTTCAAAGATGCTTCTCTCTGATCTAGAGGCGATATTTCTGTTGAACTTATTTATCGGCAAAAATGGTTTTAGCCTCTTTCCAGCGATTTAAAAATAAGATTATGATGCTTTGTAGATTTAGTGTTTCCAGTCGACGAGAGATTAGTCCGCAAATTTTTGCTCGCTGACGGTGAAAACTAAATTGACCCACAAAACATTCAAAACGTTTCGTAGAACATCATGCAACTCCCACGAATACGTCAATTGTTCTTGGAATTGTCGTCACAAACTCATGTTTTTTCCTGGTCGTGTATTAATATCGGAATAGCGTGTCATGTCGAGGTGACGACGCGGTAGTTAATAAAAATTCAGATCGAGCCGCATTTTCAGCATAAATAGCCTCTCAAACAAGTTTCTGGCATTATTTTCAGGGTCTATATAAGCTGTAATGCGTATCGGAGTGCGTGACTGCGATAATTGCTTATAATGATCTTCTGATCGCCGAAATTGGGCGCAGTCGGTTTTTTTTTTTTTTGCGCTAGCGTTACGGTTTTATGTTGGAAAATTTATTACATCCGGGAAGAAGTCTTTACCACTGGTTATTTTGCAGAAGTACAAGGAGGTTTGATTTTATGAGATTACTTCTTTGGAACTGATACGGGGATATTTCATGATAATTTAAGGTATTTTTTACATAATTGATCAGAAAAAACATCTTTCCGGGTGAAATCATGAATCAGTGGAAAAGACGCGCTAAATTTTAATGGACAATTTTATCTTGAAGCACGATTCATTCCAAGGAAAAGCTCCAAATAATGACTCACTGTAATTCTGATCCAAGTGAAATCAACCTTTTGGTCAATTTAGTCATGCATATAATTTTTCTTAAAAATACGACTATAAGGAAACAAGGTCCAGTTAAAGTGGTCTACGCACTCTCATTATGAAATTTCAGTTTTCCGTATTTAGCTTTAAACTTATGCTAATTGTTATAAATAGTAGATGAATAAATAGGATATTGATGGAATTATTCCAGAGGGTATGCATATTGGACCACCCCAGCAACTATAATTTTGCGAGCGAATTCCAGATGCTGTGGATTCTGACCTTTTATGAGCCTAAATCAGGAAAAAAAGTCGCGTGGGTTTGGTAAAAAACGGGTGAAATTTTTCGAGAGAAATTTTTGCATAAAAAATGTATCTTCCTACCTGAATACGCTGGAACTCCTGTAAAACGGAGTTCAATAAGATTAAAGAGAGCATGTATAAGATTATGAAACCTACTTATTCTTCTTTATTTCTTGGATAAAATAAATTGAATACGAGTATCGGTGCTACGAATCGTTTTCATTGAATCCATGCGAAATGGGCAGATCTTTTTATCCATTAGTTTTGACCATATCATAACCTTTTCCGTTATTGTTAGATCAAGTTGAAATCGACGGAAGACTCCGGGAATTCCAACTGGTTGTGCAAAAATATTGGGGCTTAATTGGCAATTTGGCACACTTGCATGTTGTTCGAGTTTAATTTTTTGAAAGCAGTCCAAGCGCTGCAAATTATATTGAATAATGAGAAATCTCATCAATAGATCTGACAACTCGAAAAAACTTGTTCGCTCAAAAAACCTTTTCCGGAAAATAGCCAGAAATCTCAATTGGCAAGAATAAGGTGCTCAAGTCAGGATTAAGAAATCCTTTGCAAATGAACATGCAGAGGCTTGCTTCAAATCTTGTCATCGATCTTAAAATCTTAGTACTGTACTGTATTGTCTTTTTCTGACTCTGAAACTTTTGTACCCAAATAACACCCACCTCAAGGAATAGTAGTCAAAAAAAATTATGAAAGTGATAGGTTGCGTCTCACCTTGAGCAGTTTGATGTCGTTTTCAAAGCAGAACGCTTCAAGGAGCCGGTGAAGGATGCCTTTGCTTTTATCCTCGCAATTCTGCTGGGGGCTTTTGGCGTCCACAGGAAGGATGCAAACTAGAACAGACTGTGGGCAGATTTGCAGGACCTTTAGACAGGCGTGGAGACCGTAAGTGAGTCGTCCTTGGGTCGCTGCTCTTTCTAGAACCTGGTTCAGTGCGGGTCGAAGTTTCCACATCTCCTTCACGCTGTGAACGAGCCGGGAAACGAACGAATTACAGCCGTCATCCGGGCTCTTCCGAACTCGCCGAATAAATTACGGGGCTTTCTTCCTAGATTTGAAACTCTGTCCCTCGAAACTACACGGAAAATAAAATATGGAAGACACGTTTGAGTGACTTTTTCCGCGATGAACGTTGCAAGAAATGTGCACGAAATTGTCAACACAATTTCACCCCCATTTTCGAATAAGCGACTCTTCATGGGTCGCTATATTTCTCCCGAAAAATGCGTCGAAATATTTTTATGCGCTCATCAATATAAATTTATTGACTTGGTGCATAGTACAGTAGTTGTTGTGAACTAAAATTTGTTAAGATCCCGCTAAAAATGGAAGATACGCTTGAAAGCATTCTCTGCTCAAATTGTGCGATGAAAGTTGCAAGAAATGCGCTCAAAATTGTCAACTCAATTGTACACCCTTTTTCAAATCAGCACCGCAACTCGCTCTTCGTGGGTCGCTACATTTCGCACATAAAAGACGTCGACATTTTTATGCGTTTATAAATTCAAATTTATTGATTTAGTGCATACTGTAGTACGTTATATAGTTGCCGTCACGCGTTGGAAAACTTTTTTCAGCTTCCTGTCCAACTGTCGAGAAGAAATAGAAAAATTATGAATTATTTATGCGGAGGTTTAGGTTTTTTCTTTCTAGAAATTCATCCTCCATCCAAAAGAACTTGCAGCATAAAAGTATCCGGAGAATGCCTATAGATTTCTCATTGAAATTCTTATTAGAAAAGCCGGCTGCTTATGAAGTAATAACGCTAATCCGTAAACGGAAACCTTATCGTGCTGAGATTCTGCATGAAAATCCCGGATTTCGTAATATGGATGACAGAGAATGAACATAATCTTCTACCTGAATTTTGCGGTTTGGTTTCAATCGGAGGATTGGAGATCAAAACCCAGAGAGGCATTCCAATAAATTATAGCTATCTCAAACTTTTGCTGAAATCATAATAAAAAATTCTGCAATTCTGAGAATGGTTTCTGGTGGAAGTCCTGAAACTGGGTTGTGGAGAGCTCTAATGTGCATGCAGAAAAGCACTAGTATAAGAACTCGCGAGGATCTCTTTGAAATTGTCACCGGAAATGGGGGGGGGTGGAACTGACTTTTGAAAGATTTTGAATGAAAGAAACTCACTTCATTTCTTCCTCGATGTGTTGTGCGCTGCAGTGAAGCGACAAAATGTTCTCCTCGCAGGAGCTACTGTTGGCAAATCTCATCACGAATTCTGATCACTCTGCGTTTCACCTCGTTGCGGGACGTCTGTCGAAGTAAATCACACATGGAATTTCAACAAAATCCCTCATCACTGTTCATAATTTTTTGTTTTGCTTCGATAAACTTTTCACACTGCGGATCATGGAGACGCGAGCACGGAGTTCAATTTATCGCGTACATGCAGAAACGGCCCGGGTTCGGATTGATCTCATCCCATCTCGCGATTCGATCACGTTCACACTCGAACGAAACGTCAAGTTGTGGAGTTGATTTTTCTTTATTTATGAAGTGCGTAGATTGTATTTCAGGGCCCATTGAGGTGAGAATTTTAGAACATGTCTATAGAAGGTATCCGACTTCTCACGAGCGCTACGAACCGCCCGGCAGCGGCGTCGATGGGTAACTGAGTGGAAGGCGCGACGAAGCCTCACAGGAGGATTTCGAAATCGAGTATAGCGGGTCGCTGGCTTCATCTCGGTACCGTCCGCTTACTGTATTTTCGATGCTTACTCTGTTCAGGCGTATAAACTGTGCAAGGGTTGTCCCAGTTGGACGCGGCCTCTGATATTTCAGGTGTGCTTGTAAAAAAAAATTTTTTGAAACAGCCCATGCTGATGTTCTGAGGTTCTGGGATTTTTTATGGTTAAAAAAATTGTTTCAATCTATTGCATGATGATGCGTGAAAATTTTTCATTTATACAGCCAGAGTTCTCTACCCACGCGGCAGGGTGCTGGAATTTGTCAGGCTTTTTAAAAAATTGAAATGTATTAGTTGTTTCAACCATTATCGAAGATGCAGGTAAGATTTTTGTTTAAACTGAGAATTAACTTTTTTGCCAGCCTGACAAATTTTCAGCATCCTTTGATGACATGGGTGGAGAACTACGGCTATACTGTAACTGCTGGACGTTTTCACTTACATGCAGTAAATTTAAAAACTTACTTAAAAATCCGGGAAGAAATCCCAGAACCTTGAAGCATCATGATGGGGTATGTCAAGATTATCTTTTTTACCATCACCCCCAATCTAAAAATATCAAAGGCCGCCTCTAACTGGGACAACCCTCGTACAACCCTTGGGACAACCAGAATACTGTACTGGACATTTGCGATAATGGATTTTAGCTCCCAAAATTGAGACTGCCACTGTCTTCCTTTTTAATATTACGAGTAATGTGCCATGCTTTGGATAATGACCTGCTGCCTGTAATGGGATTACACAATAAAAACATCGAAGTTTTGCATTGCATTGGAAAAAGAAAAGTATTTTTTCGAAAAGGATAAGGGATTTACTGTCGTTTGTTTCCTTGATTCTCAAGCATATGTGTGGTGTTTATTTTTATATTTCATGTAAAAATGTTTTTCATTAGTGCAGTACTTACTGAGCCTTGAAAGAATCTAATTTAAGTTCATGCTTCAATTTTGAATGCTAAAATTCAAGGATTACCTTTGCAATTATTTTCAATGTTTCAGCATATCTGAGTGATACAGTGGCGCGGTTTTCATTTTCTCGGATTTCTTCCCGAATAAATTAATTATTAAGGTACTTGCGCATTGTCTTATCTGTTTTCTCTGTTTTATACAATCAAATAAAGCGGGATAATCATCTGTTCAGCATCTCGCAGGCATATCTTTCCAACATCTGTGGTTCCAACACGTGAACCACGCATGACCAAAGTTGGGGGTCCCGTCGCTGTTTTACATTTAAATGCATAGGTTTTACATGGAACGTTTTTTCAGGCAATAATGCAAATGTCACGGGAGTAATCGGATGTTTTTTCTCTTGTCCGCGTGGAGTTTTCAATGGAAATCAAGTCTGCCACATGTATCACACTACATTCTATCTTGAAGCTGTGGTTTCGTGAATATAGGCGACATTTGAAATGCATTTCTGCGTTAAAGTAATCGCGTGAAAACTTTATTTTGTTTCATTGTAGTGAGTGACTGCCTTAATGTTGGCTACTACATTTTCATTTGGCTTTTGAATGAATTAGCATGGTTCTTATGCACCGCAGCAGACACATCATTTCCAGAAAACAGAACAAAAGAGCAGCGTTACTTCGTAATTAATGGAGGAAATGACTGTGATGATTTCATGTACTGTATCGTTGTTCTCAGGAAAACATGTCTGCCTTCATTCTCCCTTACCGGTGTTTATTCTCAGATCGTTCGCTTCTACTGCACCGCAGTGATAACCAACCATCAAGATTTGATTCCCTTGCATTGTGTGACGGAGAATGTGGCCCTCTTGTGTGGTCTTTTTCACTTTCGGAGAATCTTCGATTACGAAAGGCCGGGCCGTATCTAAATTACCGTTAAGTAGGATTCTCGCATGAGGCTTTCTTGTTGGTTGCCATGGAAATTCAAGATCGGAGCTTGTCATTTTTCAGATAGTTTCCTGTGGAAAGGGGTCAGGGAAATCCCGAATTCTTTCGAAATTTCGTGTAGCATTTACGCATGGATATTCGTGAGAGAAATTCGTGAATGATAAACTTGGAATAGAGGATCATTTCGCGATGGCTGATGCCGGCCGCGGAGATAGCCGCGTTTCGTGGTCATCCGTGTATTCCAGACAACCGAAACTCATCGCAGCGGAAGATTCCTTCATTCCTCATCAATTTCAGAAAGTCATCAGCAGTGCAGTATGCTGTACAGTAATGCACCCATTCACGTACTGCAAGACACTCATTCAGGTTTTTAAAATCGTTTTATCGTTGCTAGACATTATTGCGATCAGATCTTTTCATCAGGTTGGACATGAACCGATCGAGCCGAAACTATCCAAGAATTGGCTCGGGACTCCCGTACTGATGCTTCCAAGCATATTTCGCTATAGTACGTGTGTGATACTCCGCTTCTACTCAACTTTGTGGAAAAATGTTCTCTACATCTTTAGTTCGTTACGTGAAGCGTCAGGAAGGATTCACTGGTTGTTATCGGGGCCTAAGTGGAAATATCGCAACGCATGTCGTCCGAAATTTCACGTATGATTACGTGGAACGCTGGCTGTATGCGACCGATGAAGACGAAGAAGGGCTCAACGACGATCATGATGATAAGAAAAAAGCTGGATCGCAGAATGAAATGACGAAAAATCTCATGAAGCAAGTTTGCGTGCATGGAGTTTCGATCGTTGTCAGTCAGCCGTTTCATGGTTTGTGTTTTGAAATTTGATTCTTCAAGCGGATTTTCCCTAGTTCGTGTTTTGCAGTTATAACCTGTCGCATGATGGTCCAGTTTGTCGGCCAAGAGACAAAATACTCCGGACTTCTTGCGTCTGTGCGTGAGATCTATAACACGGATGGAATTCTTGGATTTTTTGCTGGTCTCGTTCCAAAGCTAATTGGTGATATTTCGTTGGTTGCATTGACGCACTATGCCAATTATTTGATTTGGCGCTTGGCGAGCGATCCCAACGTTCGAACAATTGGCCCGTATATTGCGTCGGTGAGTTCTATTTCTGGAGGGGGACGGAGTTGCTGTAGAATCTGTATTTTAAGAGGGCATCCGCATCGACGTGAGGCTCGTAGAAATTGTGGCGCATAATAAGCAATAATCCAGTTCTTTTTCGTCATCTTTCTAATTTTTCAAATTTGGAGCGGGAGGGGTAATTAAGGAAAACATGTATTAGAGCGTCAAAAGCTCTTTCCTTTCTCGCAAATCCGAACTTCAAGGCGCCTTCTTAATTTTCTGAAAGGGAAGAATTTTCGAAGCTAAGGCTAATTTAATTTTTTTCTTTACGCAGATGGTTTGCTCCTCGATAATGTATCCTTTCACTATTGTATCCAATTGTATGGCCGTCAATGACTGTGGGTAAGTTTCTTTGATGTGACCTTGACTTTCGTTTGATCCTATGGTGACATGTTCCGTTTTCTTCCGTTTCAGTCTGGCAGGAGGAATGCCGCCACGTATGCCAGTCTACACAAATTGGATCCATTGCTACTCTCATATACGAAGTCTTGGTCAGCTCAACCGGGGGGGTTCACTGGGCGGTCGTTATTACGTCTATGGGCCTTCTGCGATCAGTCTTGCATCTAGTCAAAAGAAGCGGCTTGATTGAACCCGTGGGATATTTTCCAGTGTCAATTTAGCTGCTCTAAAGAAGTTGAGCGTGTTTTTGTTGAGCACGGAAGTGAAAGCGATCGCTTGTTGGTCCTCATTCCTTGCTCTTTTAGTCGCAGTCCTTTCAAGTTTATTTGTTTCTGGAATCGTGTTTGCTCTCCAGTGCCGCGGAGAAGCAGTGAATTTTGAGTAATGTTTTGTCATGTTACACTGATCATATTCATTCCTTGTTTCTAGACTATACTGGTTGACTTTTTGTTCGTCATTGACGATGCCGCGTGGGAAGAATGATTTCTACTTGCGTTATTACGTTGGACACAAGGGAAAATTTGGCCACGAATTTCTTGAATTCGAATTCCGACCAGATGGTGCGTATTCTTAAAGTGCAATTGACGAGACATTGAAATGAAATAACCCTTACCATCTTTCTGTGTCACAGGCAAGCTGAGATACGCAAATAACTCCAACTACAAAAACGACGTCATGATCCGCAAAGAGGTTAGATTATCGAATTAATTTTGCATTTATAATCGTTTTATACGGTATATGCGTTTGTTCATAGTGTACTGTGAATGTGTGCGTGATTGACGAGCTGAGGCGGTTAATTGACGACAGTGAGATCATGCAAGAAGATGATACTATGTGGCCTCCGCCAGACCGTGTGGGCAGACAAGAACTTGAAATCGTGATGGGAGACGATCATATATCCTTCACAACATCGAAAATAGGTTCACTAGTTGATGTGAACACTTCGAAGTGAGTTCCTTTTTCATTAGGTTTCTCGTCTGCCTTCCCGTAATCATAGATTTAGTGTGAATTAGATTAGTTACGGCAAGTAACTTTATTATAGTAGATTTGCATGACAAGTGTAGGACAGGGCTCGTCAGTTGATGAGGTTATGCTGGTATCATGCTTGTTGCTGAACTATGCTTAAGAAGATGAGAACAATATGAGTTTTAAAATATTCTTAAATTTTATGTAGAATGGAAGAGCAGGGCGAATTGAAGCAGTCGGTAAAAGATTGGGGATTGGAGTAAAAAAAAAATGCGCTAAATATGTTTGTTGAAGGATAGCATATGTCTACGAATTTACTCTGCATCTTCCGTGAAAATTTTCGTCAGGTCGGGATTCGGCAAGAATTGAAGATTATCCATCTAAAAAATCACTATTGAATTTCAAAAAAATGTTCGCACATTCGTTTTTATGCATGTATCCAGCGCCATCAGAAACCCTCATGAGGATTTTTTTCCATAGAATTTTTTATTGGTCCCTACATGACGAAACAAGTCCATTCCTTCAGCATAATTCTGCACAATTTCATCAAGTAATGCATGTTCAATCTTAACATCCATTATTCTCATTGATTACCAAAAACCTTTTCAGTTTAATTTGTTCTGCAAAAAAATTTCTCTGTAGAAAAAGTGGCTATTTTCTTGAACGAGAATTCTGTAATTCAATTTTCTTTATTTTGTTTAAGGCATTTGTTATTCAGGGTCTTGTCACAATTGTAGGTACCCTGTGAAAAAAATTCTCAATGCCCCAAGATTATTCTGCTCTCTTTCAGGGATCCAGAAGGATTGCGGTGTTTCTACTACCTGGTGCAAGATCTCAAGTGCTGCGTATTCTCGCTGATTGGTTTGCACTTTAAAATTAAGCCAATATAAGTGAATATAAACCGAAGCAACTGGTTTTCACCACTGTTTTTTATTCATCCTTGATAGACTTCGTATCCTGTCTCTGTCTGGTTGCTTCAACTGCTTGTTGGATTTTGTAGACCAAGTAATTCATCTATGATGGTACTTAAATGACACCCTACATCTCAATTTTTGCCTTTTCTAGTCCATCATTGGTGGAATTGAAAATTTCGTCACAGTTTCAAATATGCGGCGAGATTCATTTTGCCTCAATCATGATCATTGAAAGGTCATCTGAAGTATTTATTGTATTGTTTAGCTGACATAAGTAAGTGTATTTTTGTCTGTACGCGTGGAGCATTACAAGAAATGCCTGGGTTCTGACTAGACGCAATTTTCTCGCAGATGCCAGCGAGTTCAAGAGTTCTGAGGAATCAGGATTGGGTTCAATTCTTTCAGAATGAAGCCCCTAAGTTGAGAAGATAGAATCTTGAGCGGAGATGGATTTTGGCGTGGAGCAAATATTTACGATTGTACCTAGCGCCTGTTTTGAAATGCGCACCATGATTTTTAAAGAAGAAATATTCCTTGAAATTTTCAAGCTTGAAGCCAGTGAAAAGGGTAGGAAAAATCAATAGAAAAACTCTCCACTTCAGACCTCAGTAACTTTACTCAAGTGCCTCATCGTGACTCTGAATGGAAGAACAACCTTGCACACTATTACAAGATTTTGCAGAAACAATTGAAGCTCTCTGGCAATCTGGAATTCTATAGAAGTTCACTCATAACCCGTTCAAGCCTCGTAAGGATGCAAGTTAATTACAACCGTAATCTTGGTAATGTGATAGAGGTAACCATTTTCAAGAACTGGAATACTTATAACCCATCCTTCGCACTGTAGTGCATTTTGATCAGAACGGACTATAGTCGTGATTGCCTGCAGAGAAATATTGTTTAGCTGACATAAGTAAGTGTATTTTTGTCTGTACGCGTGGAGCATTACAAGAAATGCCTGGGTTCTGACTAGACGCAATTTTCTCGCAGATGCCAGCGAGTTCAAGAGTTCTGAGGAATCGGGATTGGGTTCAATTCTTTCAGAATGAAGCACCTAAGTTGAGAAGATAGAATCTTGAGCGGAGATGGATTTTGGCATGGAGCAAATATTTACGATTGTACCTAGCGCCTGTTATGAAATGCGCACCATGATTTTTAAAGAAGAAAAATTCCTTGAAATTTTCAAGCTTGAAGCCAGTGAAAAGGGTAGGAAAAATCAATAGAAAAACTCTCACTTCAGACCTCAGTAACTTTACTCATCGGGACTCTGAATGGAAGAACAACCTTGCACACCATTACAAGATTTTGCAGAAACAATTGAAGCTCTCTGGCAATCTGGAATTCTATAGAATTTCACTCATAACCCGTTCAAGCCTCGTAAGGATGCAAGTTAAGATGTTGGCATTAGAACCATTACACTATCTCCATTGGTAAAAGTTCTTGACCTTATGAATATTGGGTAGGAAGCGTGACATCACGTAAAACTAGTCTTGCCTGATATCAGCACTAACGGACGTCTCTTTCTGACTTGAAACCATTACAAGGACAATTTTCGAACCGATCAAAGCCCAGATCGGTTAACTTCATTATTTCGATTGGCTGCGTCAAATTAAAATTAATGGTCAGCTGAATGCAGAAGATTCTCATGGAGGTCACGCAATTTATCAAAAAGCTCTAAATATCTTTCGAATATTCGCTGCAATGATCTAAGGAATGAACGGTTCACACGCTGCGATTTCTTCACGAACGTAGAATTTCTATTCAATTCAACAGCTTTGACGTTTAACATCACATAGTTGCTTGTATTTCGTGACACGCGTAGTGTATTTGCATTTATGACTTGTATAAAAAGTACAACCGCCCAACTCCATTCGTTGATGTTATGTAGCTAGTTGAGCACCATTTTCGAGTTCTTTAACACGGTCATAAATTATGCCACATTCACGACACAATCCACGCGATGATTAAACATATGAATAATAGTTCATATAAATAGATCCAGGCAGCTGTCTTATTAATACGAAAGTTTCAGCGATTTTTAAGCCTCTGGTCTGATCACATGCCCAAGGAATAATGGGACGTTGTTCCAGTTGTCCATGATGAAGAAGGAAAAGGGACGATCGGCTTTGACCGTGATGTTGACTGGCATCATTCGCAACATCATTACTGCGGCTGGGTGATCGAAAATATGTAGATGTCATCAATGCAAGACACCCATGAAAAAATGAATTTAAAAATGAGAACTACACAAGAGGATCAAATGGAATAAGACCCGCAACCATTTCAAGCAACAAGGAAAGCACTCAAATCACACTGAAGCAAGTCAATGGCTTGATGTGGAAGAGATTTGAAATTGCGCAAAGAAATCAACGAACAAACTTCGTTGCTACGAAACTGGAACACCTGAAATTTTCAAGTTGATTTAAGCACTACAAGAACGATACACAAATTAATATAAAATTTATTTCATTATCCAAACAATTCAGTGCGTGGCTTCTGCGAAAATAAATACTGTATGTCGCCTTCTTTCAGGAAAATTCCGGGAGTCTTCCCGCAGGAAGTGACAAGAATTTCCCGCCAAAGATAACACCCCCCCTTTTTTTTCTTGCCTCGTCACGAAAAAAAAGGCAAAAAAATTCATTTTCCATCTTCAACGCGCTGAAAACTTGCGATATACTGTACTGTAACTTACAGAGCCAAGTTATCATTGACCCATTCACTTTTCAATCCTTTTCTGTAAGAAATTTCATCTCTGTGCGTTTATAACTCGAAATATTCATGTTTTCAAGGGGCTAGTGGTGCGTGAATCCCTTCGTCCAACGTATTCTATTCTAGAAAAATTTCAAGTCTTGAAGTGAAAACATTCCAGAAAAAATTAGGTGGATTTAATATTTTTTGCGACTGATCAATTCTACAAGAACAATTGAAGAGACTTAAACAAGTTCGGTTCATTGTCTATGAACAGGCTACATTGCATTAGTTTCAAATGAGAAAACTGCGCTTGCTTTCATGCACATAATTTTTCAACAACACAGCGAATCTGAGGTAATGCAAAAGAAAATTGCAAAAAGCTTCGCAGAAGTGTTCAAAAGATGCGAATGGCCTCATACCAAAGGAACTTTTCCGAAAAAGAGAACCACTCCTAACGGGCCATCCTTGATGAAAAAAAGGAAAGGTATTTCCACACGCCCTTCTTCGATTTCGACAAACGCACCGCATCCAAGCATGGCACCTTTTTTAAAGCGTTCACATGTATATATGATTGCAAATACTATATATTCTTCGTAAGTAAGTACAAGCTAATATTAAACGTGAAAATACACCCCAAAATGCAATCACGAGGGGACAACTGTAATTAAAAATAATCGAGAAGAAACCGCAATCCGTACTGAAGCACACATGAAGCGAAAATATTCCAGAAAAAATTAGGTGGATTAAATATTTTTTGCGACTGATAAATCCTGCAAGCAGAATTGAAGAGACTTTAACAAGCTCGGTTCATTGTCTATGAACAGGCTACTTTTCGTTAGTTTCAAATGAGAAAACTGCGCTTGCTTTCATGCACATAATTTTTCAACACTGCCATTCTGAGGTAATGCAAACAAAAATTGCAAAAGGCTTCGCAGAAGTGTTCAAAAGATGCAAATGGCCTCATACCGAAGAAACTTTTCCGAAAAAGAGAACCACTCCTAACGGGCCATCCTTGATGAAAAAGAGGAAAGGTCGGTCCACACGCACTTCCTCGATTTCGACAAACGCACCGCCGCATTCAAGAGGGTAACCTTTTTAAAGCGACCACATGTATATATGATTGCAAATACTATATATTCTTCGTAAGTAAGTACAAGCTAATATTAAACGTGAAAAAATACCCCAAAATACGATCACGATGAGGAAAAAACTACTGTAATTAAAAATAAAGGAGAAGAGACTGCAATGCGTACTGAAGCACACAGCATGTACTCACCAGTTGCAGCAGCTGCCTCACTTCCCTCTTCATTTACCTCTAAGAAGGCCTTGTGATAACCTTCACTCACGAACAATGATTTGTCGCCGGTAATCCCAGAAAAGTCTGCCTCATCTGCATTGAACGCACTCGGCATTCCAAGCTGACAAAAGGAATTGCATATACAATTAATTGTTTCTCGCAATTCTTCAACCGATCAACATTATACAGTGCATACAAGTTGAAGAATCACATTGCCATGAGAATCGATCATTTTCCTGTAGAAAAGTTTGTGGCCCGAATCCTATGATTCACTTTTCATTTCCGAGCATAGGTGTCACCCAAATTTCATCAGGCTTCGAGAAGCTTATCCTAGATTCGGTCAGGTGTAACATGAAAAATGTAAAGAAAAGGTTGATTTACCTTGGACAACGTTTTACTAAGGGTGAAGGAGTATTCAAGTTTAAATTTCGGCAAGACGACAGTCAGCTCACGTCGAGCGCCTTTCGTAGAAATAACCTTTTCTAGCATTTCATGCGTCAAGGCACTTTCTAGCGCCTCCAGTCCATCGACTTCTCTCGGAACAAGGAGAAACATGGACATGCTTTCTCCCTATATGCAACAGTCCTTTAAATACTGTACCTAAAAAGAAAACATTTAAACGAACAATCAGGTACCTTGTAAGGCAGCTCCAGAATTCTTGCGTTCAAAGCATCAATATCAATGAGACGATAATGTCCTTTCCTTGACATCATCGGTACATCAATAGTTTTCTCCTTAGTCTGAAAAAATGGTTGATTTCTCGTTCTTGCCGGATCAAACTGGTTCAACCAGTTTCCTTTGAAATAAATCGCATTTACCAGAACTATCCTGGTCATGGCGTTCAAAGAGCCTGAAAACAATTACAGTTTCATCAGACGAAAATTGTTTGCACAATTTCTCTATAAAACTACCAGAAAAAAAGCTAAAAATGTTTGAGCAAGAATTCAATAAAAGAAGACACCGACCTGGAGGGAGCAAATCTTTGATATTGTTCTTTGTTTGATCTTCAACCCATGCGTTTATTTTGGCGCGATTAGCGTCATCGCTGAAATCAGTGTTTTCAACGGCACTGAGATAGTTTTCCTTCACTCGACTCAAATACTCTTCCTGAATTTTGGCTCCATCTTGCACGAACACCTTGTTCGCGGTTGCCAAGGTCACGTCTTTGTGATCCTGGATTTAAAAAATAACAAAATAAACGCGAATACTGACCGTACCCTGATTTTGTATATCCTTGCATATAAAATACTTGACCACGCCGCAAACAAATTGCAGCAGGTTTTGAGAGAGAAAAAAGCATTGTAGTATACTGCAGACGGAAACAGTGATTTCTATCAGTCTGCAAAATATAAAATAGCTGAAAGAACACATGCGTGGAGCAAAGGGAACATTTTCGAAAAATTTTCAAATATAATTTTAGAAATGCAAATCAGTCTGCTACTTCAGCCAAATTTCGGACAATGCATATACCTCTATAGTCTTTAACAAGTCTCTGAATTGGTCATGAACGTCTCCGGGGTTTTTGGTCATAACGTGCAACACTTTCGACATTTCTTCATGAGTAACTCCACCAGAACCCGCGAGAACCATGGAGAAAGCCGCCTGGATGCTAAACGGCGAGAAGAAGATATTCCCTTGATCCTCATTCCGCAACTCCTGAAGACCAAAAATGAACTTATGAGTCACCTCAATACTGTCGTCCAGAACACCAGAAGAAACTTACACGGAACAAGTCTATCGCAACAGCCCAGCAGCTCTGTTCTAAGTTTTGCGCCATTTTGTGCAAATTAGCAACAACTAACTTACACCAAAAGTAAATTAATGCACCAGAAACACAACCTTGCGTGCTGTGTACTGAAAAGAATCAGGTTCATCAGTTCAGCAAACGAACTACGACATTAACGAGGTATTGATGTTCGTGCTGCGCATCTAGTGTGGTCCTATTCCCTTAGAGCGATTTAGCTACGAGTTCTATTTGCTAAAAAATGTAAATTTAAAACTTATGTGCATGACAGCATATCTTGAAAGTACGTTTTCACAGACTCGTACATTCACGATTAGAAAAAAAAGACAAATTGTTTACGAGGTTACTATGGATAACAGAGTAGCTGTTATCCACCTCGATAGAACTGCTGCCAGTTTTTCATCGCAGCAACAAAATTTACGAAGACAAAAAAAAGACGAAAAGGGATATGAAACAAACATTTGTGTGCCACACATGAAACACCAAGTTCGACAGAATTCGTCATATGGTGTAAGGGTTGGTTCAAAAGTTCCGCAAGTAGATAAAAATTATTCAACTGATTTTTTGCGTCACGAAAAATATTTCCTTGCATCACCTCATTAGTTGATCAATCTCGCTTCGAAGATGTTCCGTCCACCAGATTAATTTCTTCAACTTTATAAAATCATCAATTCAAAGGAAGTTTTTGATTGAGGGCTGCCGAGTGCCAAGAAGTACTACGGTACCAAACATCCGGGTCGACCCCCCATAAGTACTCATACATGAAGGAAGCATTCATCAGATTAGCAACACATGCGTTCAATAACAACTCTGGACTTTGTTTCCCTCAAGCTGTTAAAAGCGCAATTCACTAAAATATAAAAATTTATATTGATTCATCGGTAGGCAACTGGCAAACATTTACACTGAAAATATATTATATTTTAAATATATGCTTTCAGATTTTAAATATTTCAATTTACTACATGCGACAGGTGAACCATAGCTCAACAAGGATATAAGTATATTGAATGGCTTTAGACGAAAATGAAGGCATGTGATAGTACAGTAGCTGCATATACTGTACAGTACTCTATGAACTTGTGCCACATATGAAAGTCAATTTCCAAAGACGGAGCGGAAAACTTTTGAACCATCCCTCGCATACTTGAGGGAATGTCATAATACACATGATTCCAGCTACATAAACACACATGACAGAAGGTACCAAGACGGTGATGAATATATAATGCCTTCCGCGAAAGAGGTGATAAGACAAAATATCACCCGTTTCGAAAGAAAGACAGCTTTACAGACAGTGAGGCATTCACTTGTACTTCTAGAAAAACCATCAGAAAATATTAAAAAATTCAAAGAAAATCTTTCACAAAGAAAAACATCATCAAGGTTCACATAAGGCTGCGTTAGAACAGATTCACCGCAAACGCACCCCAATATGTATTCTGAAAAATAATTTCAACAGATTAAGCATGAATTCTGAAAACAGATTTCAAAAGCTACCGAACAGTTGAACACAGGCAACAGGAATGTAAGTTCCACCAACTAAACAATGCGATCCTCCAAAGAGTTCCAGTCGTAAATGTTTTCAATACTTCTTCTAAACTTGCGTTCGTGGAAAGCTGAACAGAGCCGACACAAAAAGTGGCTGTCTGAGATTTTCCCCCGAGATTTCCAATCAAAATACTGTAACTGTGAAAATGGAAAGAACGATTGATGCAAAATTAGATTATAACGTTTTCTTCAACTAACCAATCAACTATGATGCACATGCAAATGATGTTATGATGTTGCACATCATTTGCATCGAGATTCAGCTGTTTTCTTCGTAGAGACTTCATCAGGTTACACTAATAGTAAACGTTTTCTGTTCGCAGTTCATCATGTATAAATATAATATATAGCATATACAGTATATAAATTCTCTTCAACAGATTCAACACCTGGAAAGCTTGAGGCTGCAAAAGTACTCATGCAAAATCGGACATTTTGGTGGTCATATACAGCACTTAACTCCCCATTCAATTTAAAACCAATTCTCACCCGCGGATTAGGTTTTTGGTGTGTTGCTTGACCAGGTAATTCGTCATAAGCCTTCATTTCGACAGACTTGACTTCAGATTCAGCTTCTGTAATCGAACGACGTCCACTTTCTCCTTTGCGGGAAAAAGGAAAATAAAAGTATTCGCAGATGAAAAAAAAAAGGAATTAATGTGTTACTTTTCGGAGAAATCCGGAAAACGAACGCCAGAAGGGCTAAGGGGATTCTCAGGTGAAATCTTCATCATTCGAGCTAGATATTCATCATCTTTCCGCAGAATACTGATCAGCCCAGAATTACGGCGGCTCGCAGGATACTTCGCGAAGTCGTTTCTTTTACTCAAGGAGCAGAAATTAAATTCGAAACGAGCAATCTACACGAGATAGACTTTCCATTTCACAAATCGCGTCCAACAGCTTTAACTTCAGTTCGATCTCGACAAGAAAACCTTCAGGAATTCTTTTCAATTGGCTCAATGACGTGAAAATCCAAAGGAAACCTGCGACAGTCAGCCATAATGCAATATTCTTGAGCCTAATCCGCACGACCATTTCTACGAAGATTTTTAACTCGCATACGAAGTCAACAGGAGATAGGAAAATTTATCAACCAATAACAAAGAAACCACGGGGAATCCGAATACATTTTTAATGGTCAGTTGGATGCTGAATGCGGAAGATTATCATGAAGGTCACGCAATTCATCAACAAGTTTTAAATATTTAATTTTCAATATCTTGCAAATATTCGCTGCAATGATTTAAGAAATAAACGGTTCACACGCTGCAATTTCTCTGCGAACATAGACTTTCTATTCGTCAATTCAACAGCTTCGACGTTTAACATCACATAGTTGGAACATAAAGCACTGTGCGCATCACATAAACGTAAATACTGAACATATTTTTCATGTTGGCGGGTTGAGGTAAGCAACTACAATACATCGATCAACTCGTGGTAAAAGCTCAAGAAATTGTGCCAGTAAAATTATGCCACATTCACGACACAATCCACGCGATGATTGAACATATGAATAATAGTTCATATAAATAGATCCAGGCAGCTGTCTTATTAATACGAAAGTTTCAGCGATTTTTAAGCCTCTGGTCTGATCACGTGCCCAAGGAATAATGGGACGTTGTTCCAGTTGTCCATGATGAAGAAGGAAAAGGGACGATCGGCTTTGACCGTGATGTTGATTGGCATCATTCGCAACATCATTACTGCGGCTGGGTGGTCGAAAATATGTAGATGTCATCAATGCAAGACACCCGTGAAAAAATGAATTTAAAAATGAGAACTACACAGGAGGATCAAACGGAATAAGACCTGCAACCATTTCACGCAACAAGGAAAGCACTCAAATCACACTGAAGCAAGTCAATGGCTTGATGTGGAAGAGATTTGAAATTGCGCAAAGAAATCAACGATCAGACTCCGTTGCTACGAAACTGGAACATCTGAAATTTTCAAGTTGATTCACGCACTACAAGAACGATACACAAATGAATACAAAATTTATTTAATTATCCAAACAATTCAGTGCGTGGCTTCTGCGAAAATAAATTCTGTATGTCGCCTTCCTTCAGGAAAATTCCGGGAGTCTTCCCGCAGGAAGTGACAAGAATTTCCCGCCGAAGATAACACCCCCCATTTTTTTTCTTGCCTCGTCACGAAAAAAAAGGCAAAAAAATTCATTTTCCATCTTCAACGCGCTGAAAACTTGCGATATACTGTACTGTAACTTACTGAGCCAAGTTATCATTGACCCATTCACTTTTCAATCCTTTTCTGTAAGAAATTTCATCTCTGTGCGTTTATAACTCGAAATATTCATGTTTTCAAGGGGCTAGTGGTGCGTGAATCCCTTCGTCCAACAAGCCAAGTTATCATTGACCCATTCACTTTTCAATCCTTTTCTGTAAGAAATTTCATCTCTGTGCGTTTATAACTCGAAATATTCATGTTTTCAAGGGGCTAGTGGTGCGTGAATGGGAAGCAGGTTGCATAAGATAAGATCTTTTTAAAGTTCAGAACTTCACTTTTGTAAGGTCTTTTTTAATCCACCTAAATTATAAAAAACGCTGACTAGTTAAGATGTTCTTGTTAACTTCTCTGAAGTACAAGTTCGGTTCATTGTCTATGAACAGGCCACATTGCATTAGTTTCAAATGAGAAAACTGCGCTTGCTTTCATGCACAAAAATTTTCAACACAGCGAATCTGAGGTAATGCAAAAGAAAATTACAAAAAGCTTCGCAAAAAGTTCAAAAAATGCGAATGGCCTCATACCAAAGAAACTTTTCCGAAAAAGAGAACCACTCCTAACGGGCCATCCTTGATGAAAAAAAGGAAAGGTAGTTCCACACGCCCTTCTTCGATTTCGACAAACGCACCGCATCCAAGGATGGCACCTTTTTTAAAGCGTCCACATGTATATATGATTGCAAATACTATATATTTTTCGTATAAAAGTACAAGCAAATATTGAATGTGAAAAAACACCACAAAATACTATCAAGAGGGGACTACAGTAATTGAAAATAATGGAGAAGAAACCACAATCCGTACTGAAGCACACATGAAGCGAAAATATTCCAGAAAAAACTAGGTTGATTAAATATTTTTTGCGACTGATCAATCCTGCAAGAAGAATTGAAGAGACTTTAACAAGTTTGGTTCATTGTCTATGAACAGGCTACATTTCGTTAGTTTCAAATAAGAAAACTGCGCTTGCTTTCATGCACAAAATTTTTCAACAACACAGCGAATCTGAGGTAATGCAAAAGAAAATTACAAAAAGCTTCGCAGAAAAGTTCAAAAAATGCGAATGGCCTCATACCAAAGAAACTTTTCCGAAAAAGAGAACCACTCCTAACGGGCCATCCTTGATGAAAAAGAGGAAAGGTCGGTCCACACGCACTTCCTCCTCGATTTCGCCAAACGCACAGCCTAAGCCGCTGGCACCTTTTTTAAACAAGCAAATGTATATATGATTGCAAATACAGTGCATTACTTGTAGATAAGCACAAGCTAATACTAAACGTGAAAAAATGCCCCGAAATAAAATCACGAAGGGACTACTGTAATTTAAAAAAAAATGGAGAAGAAACCGCAATCCGTACTGAAGCACACATGTACTCACGAGTTGCAGCAGCTGCCTCACTTCCCTCTTCATTTACCTCTAAGAAGGCCTTGTGATAACCTTCACTCACGAACAACGATTTGTCGCCGGTAATCCCAGAAAAGTCTGCCTCATCTGCATTGAACGCACTTGGCATTCCAAGCTGACAAAAGGAATTGCATACACAAATAATTGTTTCTCGCAATTCTTCAACCGATCAACATTATACAGTACATAAAAATTGGAAGAATCACAATGCCATGGGAATCGCTCAATTTTTCCGCAGAAAAGTTCGTGGCCCGAATCCGATAATTTAGTTTTCATTCCCGTACATAGTGGTCACCCAAATTTCATCAGGCTTCGTGAGGCTTATCCTAGATTCGTCCAGGTGAAACTGAATGAAACATGTGAAGAAAAGGTTGATTTACCTTGGACAACGTTTTCCTCAGGGTGAAGGAGGATTCAAGTTTAAATTTCGGCAAGACGACTGTCAGCTCACGTCGAGCGCCTTTCGTAGAAATAACCTTTTCCAGCATTTCATGCGTCAAGGCATTTTCTAGCGCCTCCAGTCCATCGACTTCTCTCGGAACAAGGAGAAACATGGACATGCTTTCTCCCTATATGCAACAGTCCATTAAATACTGTACCTAAAAAGAAAACATTTAAACGAACAATCAGGTACCTTGTAAGGCAGCTCCAGAATTCTTGCGTTCAAAGCATCAATATCAATAAGACGATAATTTCCTTTCCTTGACATCATCGGTACATCAATAGTTTTCTTCTTAGTCTGAAAAAATGGTTGATTTCTCGTGCTTGCCGGGTCAAACTGGTTCAACCAGTTGCCTTTGAAATAAATCGCATTTACCAGAACTATCCTGGTCATGGCGTTCAAAGAGCCTGAAACGATTACAGTTTTATCGGACAAAAATTGTTTGCACAATTTTTCTATAAAACTACCAGAAAAAAAGCTGAAAATGTTCGAGCAAGAATTCAAAAAAAGAAGACACCGACCTGGAGGGAGCAAATCTTTGATCTTGTTCTTTGTTTGATTTTCAACCCATGCGTTTATTTTGGCGCGATTAGTGTCATCGCTGAAATCAGTGTTTTCAACGGCACTGAGATAGCTTTCCTTTACTCGACTCAAATACTCTTCCTGAATTTTTGCTCCATCTTGCACAAACACCTTGTTTGCGGTAGCCAAGGTCACGTCTTTGTGATTCTGCATTTAAAAAATAACAAAATAAACGCGAATACTGACCGTACCCTGATTTTGTATATCCTTGCATATAAAATACTTGACCACGCCGCTAACAAATTGCAGCAGGTTTTGAGAGAGAGAAAAAAAGCATTATACGTATACTGCAGACGGAAACAGTAATTTCTATCAGTCTGCAAAATATACAATAGCTGGAAACACACATGCGTTGAGCGAAGGGAACATTTTCGAAAATTGTTCATATATAATTTTAGAAATACAAATCAATCTGCTACTTCAGCCAAATTTCTGACAATGCATGTACCTCTATTGTCTTCAACAAGTCTCTGAATTGGACATGAACGTCTCCGGGGTTTTTGGTCATAACGTGCAACACTTTAGAAATTTCTTCATGAGTAACTCCACCAGAACCCGCGAGAAACATGGAGAAAGCCGCCTGGATGCTGAACGGCGAGAAGAAGATATTCCCTTGATCCTCTTTCCGCAACTCCTGAAGACCACAAATTAAATTATGAGTCACCTCAATACTGTCGTCCAGAACACCAGAAGAAACTTACACGGAACAAGTCTATCGCAACAGCCCTGAAGCTCCGTTCTAAGTTTTTCGCCATTTTGTGCAAATCAGCAACAACGAACTTACAACAAATTAAGGCACCAGAAACACAACCTTGCGCGCTGTGTACTGAAAAGAATCAGGTTCATCAGTTCAGCAAACGAACTACGACATTAACGAGGTATTCTACAAGCACGACGCGTAGATCACACCAGGATAAGGGAATCTCGCTAAATCGTTAAATGCTCAAGACAAACGATTTTTTACATTTAAATTTTGAAAACACTGTCGTATAGAACTTCCATGCAAAAATCAGACTCGTATATTCACGCTTAGAAAAAAAAAACGAATTGTTCACAACGCGGTTACTTCGGTTACCGGAGCAGCTGGAATCAACCTCGATAGAACTGCTGCCGGTTTTTCATTGCAGCAACAAAATTTACGAAGACAAAAAAAACGACAAGGGATATGAAGCAAACATTTGTGTGCCACACATGAAACACCAAGTTCGACAGAATTCATCATATGGTGTATACACCATATTGAACCAACCCTTATAAGGGTTGGTTCAAAAGTTCTGCAAGTAGATAAAAATTATTTAACTGAATTTTTTGCATCACGAAAAATATTTCCTTGCATCACCTCATTAGTTGATCGATCTCGCTTCGAAGATGTTCCGTCCACCAGATTAATTTCTTCAACTTTATGAAATCATCAATTCAAAGGAAGTTTTTGATGGAGGGCTGCCGAGTGCCAAGAAGTCCTTCGGTACCAAACATCCGGGTCGACCCCCCAAAATTACTTGGACAATTAAGCAAGCATTCATCAGATTAGCAACACATGCGCTCAATAAAAACTCTGAGCTTTGTTTCCCTCAAGCTGTTAAAGCGCAATTCACTAAAATATAAAAATTTATATTGATTCATCGGTAGGCAACTGGCAAACATTTTCACTGAAAATATATTATATTTTAAATATATGCTTTCAGATTTTAAATATTTCAATTTACTACTACTGCGACAGGTGAACCATAGCTCAACAAGAATATAAGTATATTGAATGGCTATAGACAAAAATGAAGGCATGTGATACTCTATAAACTTTTGCCACATATCAACGTCAATCCCCAATGACGGAGCGGAAAATTTTTAACCATCCCTCGCATACTTGAGGGAACGTCATAATACACATGATTCCAGCTACATAAGCACACATGACAGAAGGTACCAAGACGGTGATGAATATAATGCCTTCCGCGAAAGAGGTGATAAGACAAAATATCACCCGTTTCGAAAGAAAGACAGCTTTAGGTGGCTCAACAAGGATAACATCATCAAAGTTCACATCACGCTGCGTTAGAACAGATTCACCGCAAACGCACCCCAATATGTATTCTGAAAAATAATTTCAACAGATTAAGCAAGAATTCTGAAAACAGATTTCAAAAGCTACTAACAGTTGAACACAGGCAACAGGAATGTAAGTTCGACCAACTAAACAATGCGATCCTCCAAAGAGTTCCAGTCGTAAATGTTTTCAATACTTCTTCTAAACTTGCGTTCGTGGAAAGCTGAACAGAGCCGACACAAAAAGTGGCTGTCTGAGATTTTCCCCCGAGATTTCCAATCAAAATACTGTAACTGTGAAAATGAAAAGAACGATTGATGCAAAATTAGATTATAACGTTTTCTTCAACTAACCGATCAACTATGATGCACATGCAAATGATTTTATGATGCTGCACATCATTTGCATCGAGATTCAGCTGTTTTCTTCGTAGAGACTTCATCAGGTTACCCTATCAGTAAACCTTTTCTGTTCGCAGTTCATCATGTATAAATATAATATATAGCATATATATAAATTCTCTTCCACAGATTCAACACCTGGAAAGCTTGAGGCTGCAAAAGTACTCATGCAAAATCGGACGTTTTGGTGGCCATATACACTACAGCACTTAACTCCCCATTCAATTTAAAACCAATTCTCACCCGCGGATTAAGTTTTCGTGTGTTGCTTGACCAGGTAATTCGTCATAAGCCTTCATTTCGACAGACCTGACTTCAAATTCAGCTTCTGTAATCGAACGACGTCCACTTTCTCCTTTGCGGGGAAAAAAATAAAAATATTCGCAGATTAAAAAAAAAAAGAATTAATGTGTTACTTTTCGGAAAAATCCGGAAAACGAACGCCAGAAGGGCCAAGGGGATTCTCAGGTGAAATCTTCATCATTCGAGCTAGATATTCATCATCTTTCCGCAGAATACTGATCAGCCCAGAATTATTGCGGCTCGCAGGATACTTCGCAAAGTCGTTTCTTTTATTCAAGGAGCAGAAATTAAATTCGCAACGAGCAACCTAAACGAGATAGACTTTCCATTTCACAAATCGCGTCCATCTTCTTCAACTTGAGTTCGATCTCGATAAGAAAACCTTCAGGAATTCTTTTCAATTGGCTTAATAACGTGAAAATCCAAAGGAAACCTGCGACAGTCAGCCATAATGCAATATTCTTGAGCCTAACCCGCACGACCATTTCTACGAAGATTTTTAACTCGCATACGAAGTCAACAGGAGATAGGAAAATTTATCAACCAATAACAAAGAAACCACGGGGAATCCGAATACATTTTTAATGGTCAGTTGGATGCTGAATGCGGAAGATTATCATGAAGGTCACGCAATTCATCAACAAGTTTTAAATATTTAATTTTCAATATCTTGCAAATATTCGCTGCAATGATTTAAGAAATAAACGGTTCACACGCTGCAATTTCTCTGCGAACATAGACTTTCTATTCGTCAATTCAACAGCTTCGACGTTTAACATCACATAGTTGGAACATAAAGCACTGTGCGCATCACATACACGTAAATACTGAACATATTTTTCGTGTTGGCGTGTTGAGGTAAGCAACTACAATACATCGATCAACTCGTGGTAAAAGCTCAAGAAATTGTGCCAGTAAAATAATGCCACATTCACGACACAATCCACGCGATGATTAAACATATGAATAATAGTTCATATAGATAGATCCAGGCAGCTGTCTTATTAATTCGCAAGTTTCAGCGATTTTTAAGCCTCTGGTCTGATCACGTGCCCAAGGAATAATGGGACGTTGTTCCGGTTGTCCATGATGAAGAAGCAAAAGGGACGATCGGCTTTGACCGTGATGTTGATTGGCATCATTCGCAACATCATTACTGCGGCTGGGTAATCGAAAATATGCAGATGTCATCAATGCAAGACACCCGTGAAAAAATAAATTTAAAAACGAGAACTACACAAAGAGGATCAAACGGAATAAGACCTGCAACCATTTCAAGCAACAAGAAAAAAACTCAAATCACACTGAAGCAAGTCAACGGCTCGATGTGGAAGAGATTTGAAAATAAGCAAAGAAATCAACGATCAGACTCCGTTGCTACGAAACTGGAACACCTGAAATTTTCAAGTTGATTTAAGCACTACAAGACCGATACACAAATGAATATCAAATTGTTTTCATTATCCAAACAATTCAGTACGTGGCTTCTGCGAAAATAAATACTGTATGTCGCCTTCTTTCAGGAAAATTCCGGGAGTATTCGCGCAGGAAGTGACAAGAATTTTCTGCCAAAGATAACACCCTCTTTTTTTTCTTGCCTCGTCACGAAAAAAAGGCCAAAAAATTCATCTTCCATCTTCAACGCGCTGAAAACTTGCGATATACTGTACTGTAACTTACAGTCGGTTCAATAGTAACTGGGTAAGTGAAAAGTTAGGAAAAGACATTCTTTAAAGTAGAGACACGCAAATGTTGAGGAAATATTCATGTTTTCAAGGGGCTAGTGGGGCGTGAATCCCTTCGTCCAACATATTGTATTCTATCAAAATTTCAAGAGTCTTGAAGAGAAAATATTCCAGAAAAAATTAGGTGGATTTAATATTTTTTGCGCCAGATCAATCCTTTGAATAATTGAAGACTTCAACAAGTTCGGTTCATTGTCTATGAACAGGCTACATTTCGCTAGTTTCAAATGAGAAAACTGCGCTTGCTATCATGCACATGATTTTTCAACAACACGGCGAATCTGCGGTAATGCGAAGGAAAATTGCAAAAAGCTTCGCAAAAAGTTCAAAAGATGTGAATGGCCTCATACCAAAGAAACTTTTCCGAAAAAGAGAACCACTCCTAACGGGCCATCCTTGATGAAAAAGAGGAAAGGTCGGTCCACACGCACTTCCTCGATTTCGACAAACGCGCAGCATCCAAGGATGGCACCTTTTTTAAAGCGACCACATGTATATATGATTGCAAATACAGTATATACTTCAAGTAAGCACAAGCTAATATTAAACGTGAAAAAATGCCCCAAAATAAAATCACGAAGGGACTACTGTAATTAAAAATAATGGAGAAGAGACTGCAATGCGTACTGAAGCACACAGCATGTACTCACCAGTTGCAGCAGCAGCCTCACTTCCCTCTTCATTTACCTCCAAGAAGGCCTTGTGATAACCTTCACTCACGAACAATGATTTGTCGCCGGTAATCCCAGAAAAGTCTGCCTCATCTGCATTGAACGCACTCGGCATTCCAAGCTGACAAAAGGAATTGCATATATGTACAATTAATTGTTTCTCGCAATTCTTCAACCGATCAACATTATACAGTACATAAAAATTGGAAGAATCACAATGCCATGGGAATCGTTCAATTTTTCCGTAGAAAATTTTGTGGCCCGAATCCGATAATTTACTTGTCATTCCCGTACATAGTGGTCACCCAAATTTCATCAGGCTTCGTGAAGCTTATCCTAGATTCGGCCAGGTGAAACTGAATGAAACATGTAAAGAAAAGTATGATTTACCTTGGATAACGTTTTACTGAGGGTGAAGGAGGATTCAAGTTTAAATTTCGGCAAGACGACAGTCAGCTCACGTCGAGCGCCTTTCGTAGAAATAACCTTTTCCAGCATTTCATGCGTCAAGGCACTTTCTAGCGCCTCCAGTCCATCCACTTCTCTTGGAACAAGCAGAAACATGGACATGCTTTCTCCCTATATGCAACAGTCTATTAGATACTGTACCAAAAAAATTTAAACGAACAATCAGGCACCTTGTAAGGCAGCTCCAGAATTCTCGCGTTCAAAGCATCAATATCAATGAGACGATAATGTCCTTTCCTTGACATCATCGGCACATCAATAGTTTTCTCCTTAGTCTGAAAAAATGGTTGATTTCTCGTGCTTGCCGGGTCAAACTGGTTCAACCAGTTTCCTTTGAAATAAATCGCATTTACCAGAACTATCCTGGTCATGGCGTTCAAAGAGCCTGAAAACGATTATACAGTTGTATGAGACGAAAATTGTTTGCACAATTTTTCAATTTAACTACCAGAAAAAAGCTAAAAATGTTCGAGCAAGAATTCAATAAAAGAAGACACCGACCTGGAGGGAGCAAATCTTTGATCTTGTTCTTTGTTTGATCTTCAACCCATGCGTTTATTTTGGCGCGATTAGCGTCATCGCTGAAATCAGTGTTTTCAACGGCACTGAGATAGCTTTCCTTCACTCGACTCAAATACTCTTCCTGAATTTTGGCTCCATCTTGCACAAACACCTTGTTTGCGGTTGCCAAGGTCACGTCTTTGTGATCCTGCATAAAAAAAAACGAAATAAACGCGAATCCTGACCGTGCCCTGATTTTGTATATCCACGCATATAAAATACTTAACCATGCCGCAAACACATTGCGGCAGTTTTCGTGCGAGAAAAAAGCATTGTACATATACTGTAGATGGAAACAGTAATTTCTATCAGTCTACAAAATACAGTATACAATAGCTGAAAACACACATGCGTGGAGCGAAGGGAACATTTTCGAAATTTTTGAAATATAATTTTAGAAATGCAAATCAATCTGCTACTTCAGCCAAATTCCTGACAATGCATGTACCTCTATTGTCTTCAACAAGTCTCTGAATTGGTCATGAACGTCTCCGGTGTTTTTGGTCATAACGTGCAACACTTTCGACATTTCTTCATGAGTAACTCCACCAGAACCCGCGAGAACCATGGAGAAAGCCGCCTGGATGCTGAACGGCGAGAAGAAGATATTCCCTTGATCCTCATTCCGCAACTCCTGAAGACCACAAATTAATTTATGAGTCACCTCAATACTGTCGTCCAGAACACCAGAAGAAACTCACACGGAACAAGTCTATCGCAACAGCCCTGAAGCTCTGTTCTAAGTTTTTCGCCATTTTGTGCAAATCAGCAGCAACGAACTTACAACAAATTAAGGCACCAGAAACACAACCTTGCTGAAAAGAATCGTGTTCATCAGTTCAGCAAATGAACTACGACATTAACTACAAGCACGACGCGTAGATCACACCAGGATAAGGGAATCTCGCTAAATCGATGCTCAAGATAAACGATTTTTTACATTTAAATTTTGAATACACGTACTGTCGTATAGAACTTTCATGCAAAAGTAGTCATAACGTGCAACACTTTCGACATTTCTTCATGAGTAACTCCACCAGAACCCGCGAGAACCATGGAGAAAGCCGCCTGGATGCTGAACGGCGAGAAGAAGATATTCCCTTGATCCTCATTCCGCAGCTCCTGAAGACCACAAATTAATTTATGAGTCACCTCAATACTGTCGTCCAGAACACCAGAAGAAACTCACACGGAACAAGTCTATCGCAACAGCCCTGAAGCTCTTTTCTAAGTTTTTCGCCATTTTGTGCAAATCAGCAGCAACGAACTTACAACAAATTAAGGCACCAGAAACACAACCTTGCTTAAAAGAATAATGTTCATCAGTTCAGCAAACGAACTACGACATTAACTACAAGCACGACGCGTAAATCACACCAGGATAAGGGAATATCGCTAAATCATTAAATGCTCAAGACGAACGATTTTTTACATTCAAATTTTGAAAACACGTACTGTCGTATAGAACTTTCATGCAAAAGTCAGACTAGTACATTCACGATTAGAAAAAAAGACAAATTGTTTACGAGGTTACTATGGTTAACAGAGTAGCTGTGATCCACCTCGATAGAACTGCTGCCAGTTTTTCATCGCAGCAACAAAATTTTACGAAGACAAAAAAAACGAAGGATATGAAACGAACAGTTGTATGCCACGCATGGAACACCACGTTCGACAGAATTCGTCATATAGTGTAGGGGCTGGTTCGAAAGTTCCGCGAGTAGATTAAAATTATTCGACTGAATTTTTTGGATCACGAAAAATATTTCCTTGCATCACCTCATTGGTTGATCGATCTAGCTTTGAAGATGTTCCGTCTAATAGATTAATATCTTCAACTTTATAAAATCATCAATTCAATGAAAATTTTTGATTTGAGGGCTGCCGACTGCCAAGAAGTACTACGGTACCAAACATCCGGGTCGACCCCTCAAAATTACTTGGACAATGAAGCAAGCATTTATCAGATTAGCAACACATGCGCTCAATAAAAACTCTGAGCTTTGTTTCCCTCAAGCTGTTAAAGCGCAATTCACTAAAATATAAAAATTTATATTGATTCATCGGTAGACAACTGGAAAACATTTTCCCTGAAAATATATTATATTTTAAATATATGCTTTCAGATTTTAAATATTTCAATCTACTTCATGCGACGGGTGAACCATAGCTCAACAAGGATATAAGTATATTGAATGGCTTTAGACGAAAATGAAGGCATGTGATAGTAGCTACATATACTCTATAAACTTGTGCCACATATCAACGTCAATCCCCAATGACGGAGCGGAAAACTTTTTAACCATCCCTCGCACATTTAAGGCGACGTCAAACACACGATTCCAGCTACATAAACACACATGACAGAAGGTACCAAAACGGTGATGAATAATGCCTTCCGCAAAAGAGACGATAAGATAAAATTCTTGTATATCACCCGTTTCGAAAGAAAGACAGCTTTACGTTACGTGGCTCAACAAGGCATTCACCTGTACTCCAAGAAAAACCATCAAAAAATATTTAAATAATTCTAAGAAAATCTTTCACTGAAGTAAAACATTATCAAAGTTCACATCACGCTGCGCAAGAACAGATTCACCGCAAACGCACGTCTATATTCTGAAAAATAATTTCAACAGATTAAGAAAGAACAAAATGCGAATTCAAGCTAATGCGGTATGAAGAAATCAAAAACTCGCCGCGAAGAACTCTCGCCCATTTATTCAGACTTCCGAGTACAAAATTATGCAAAGCGGTGATGAAAGTCCTTCGGTACCAAACATCCGGGTCGACCCCTCAAAATTACTTGGACAATGAAGCAAGCATTTATCAGATTAGCAACACATGCGCTCAATAAAAACTCTGAGCTTTGTTTCCCTCAAGCTGTTAGAGCGCAATTCACTAAAATATAAAAATTTATATTGATTCATCGGTAGACAACTGGCAAACATTTTCCCTGAAAATATATTATATTTTAAATATATGCTTTCAGATTTTAAATATTTCAATCTACTTCATGCGACGGGTGAACCATAGCTCAACAAGGATATAAGTATATTGAATGGCTATAGACGAAAATGAAGGCATGTGATAGTAGCTACATATACTCTATAAACTTGTGCCACATATCAACGTCAATCCCCAATGATGGAGCGGAAAACTTTTTAACCATCCCTCGCACATTTAAGGCGACGTCGAACACACGATTCCAGCTACATAAACACACATGACAGAAGGTACCAAAACGGTGATGAATAATGCCTTCCGCAAAAGAGACGATAAGATAAAATTCTTGCATATCACCCGTTTCGAAAGAAAGACAGCTTTACGTTACGTGGCTCAACAAGGCATTCACCTGTACTCCAAGAAAAACCATCAAAAAATATTTAAATAATTCGAAGAAAATCTTTCACTGAAGTATAACATTATCAAAGTTCACATCACGCTGCGCAAGAACAGATTCACCGCAAACGCACGTCTATATTCTGAAAAATAATTTTTTGTCTAATTCTTTCTTGTTTTACGCTTAAGTTCGATTACGCCATACTTCTTTAGTTTTTGAGCGGCGCTTCTTGAGAGCGGGTAAATAAGTCTGAAGGCTCATGTTTTAATACGTTTCGCCACTACCCATTGCTTTCACTACCACTGAATGAAAAGTGGCGCACTTCTCGTTCTCCCGCGATAATATGCGAAACTTCTGCAAAACGCGACACTCAAAAATTAGCACCCCAAATGCGAACAGCTTCTGCGTTGCGGCTGATGAGATGCATTTGCGACAAACGTCAAAAGGCAGGAGGTAATACATTTCCTGTGCAACAACCTGTTCGACAGAGCGAAATAACGACGAAAGTATAGCAAAACGGATTTAAAAGACCAAAACCACTTCACGTAAACACAAGTTAACTTTCATTGAACATCCCTGAGCGACCCGCATTCAAGAGAACAAATGGATCAATCGGGCAATTCAGAAATGCATGCGTAAACGATTCGACTTACAGGTGTCTCACCCAGAGGTTAACCAAAGGGGTCAATGTAAAAATGCGAAGACTCACGGTCGCTGTCCGGAAAATGAGCGAGCACAGCCGCGATCAATTTCGGGGTGCAAGCAAGCGGCCTCGTTAGCTTTGAAAAACACACTCAGCTCCATGGCGGCGGCTTTGAGCTCATTGCTGGCCTTTTCCATCGCTTGAAGACCTTTTTGTGTTCACGTTAACCGACGGCGAAGGATCTCTAATTCGGCTTCATATTTTTCGCAAGCTTTCTTTTCATCTCCTAATAGATTTGCAATCTTCTTAACGGCACTTAATTTTTATTGAACTACAAGCCTGTGAATTCGTATAAGAATAGGGACAGAGACAGAATCCCGATAGTTGTCCCAATCGGGAAATCATTGCATTAGGAAGTAATCTCTGCTAAAAATCGCAATTCAGATGATGTTCAAGCAGTTTTAATAGGACTGAATTTAGATTAATAAGAGGTTGTATACCTTCTGAGTAGTACCATAGTTCATTACTGAAAATATGCATAAATCGATGACATGAGCTACTCACAATCGAACCAATCCTTTATCCAAAATATTGTCAAGAGGGAGATTCTCATCTGAGTCTTCACTGGACTCAAGCAAAAGCCGCAAAGATTTTGGCGAGCCAGGAGCAGCTGGACTATCAGGTACACCAATTGATTCCCAGTTATTCGAACTGGAATATGCATCAGCGTTTTCCTCCGGAACCGGTTTCGCAGTCAGTTGAACAGTCACATACATTTTATCACAGCGTTCTTGATTTCTCCATTCCACGAACTTTTGAGGATGGCTCAAATCTTCCTTGTTGAACTTCGTGAATTCAGATGCCTTATAACGTTCTTTAGTCATCTTCTCGAGCTCGTATCCAGCTCATTTCGTAGTTTCGCAGCACTACTTTTAATACTGGCAGCCGTAAAAACCTGCGAACGTATCTGACCAGAACGGGACCTTTCTATTCACACCGAACGCAATTGACGACACAATACCCATGCTTGTTATTCGATGTGATCCTTTCTAAATTGAAAATCAAGAAATTTCAGGCAATATTTGGTTAAAATATTCAATAAAATAAAGCTGATCAGTCCCGCAGCAACTGAATAGAGAAAATTCAGCTTCAGCTACTGTAAATCTCTTAGATGGAATTTTCAAGATGAAAATGGAAAAATTATTACTCGAATCAAATAAAATTTATTACTTCATTAGATCAAATCCTCGCAAACGAAAGGAAATTCGAATAATTACGACACGAAGTAATTATTAGAATTCATTACAAGAATTATACTGATGCAAAAAAATTTCATTTAAAGTTTTATAAAAATGGAATCTTTGCAGAATTAGATTCCCCATTTTGATTAAAAACCTGTGAAACTGTCTTGGCTTCAATAATTTTGCTTTTGCCACTATCATCTGGTTTCTTCATGTCATTGCAGTTCGAATCCACGACAGCTTCCGACGACGAGGAATCCCCTTGTCCAATGTTAATCATTGAAGGTCCACGGTTCTTCACTTGAGCAGGGACAACCATCACCACAGGAAGCTCTGGGTCTTCCTTAGGCCACCAATAGCGCTTAGCAACGGACATATTCTCATGGCTTACAGGTACTTCTTGAACGGCAGGTTTTAAAGAGGTATTACGTCGCCACAGGGGCAGTTGGTTTTCCTCTCTTCGCAACATCCATGAGCAATCGTGCCCGAAGTATTTCTTCGTCGTCTTCTTCCATGTACAAACTCGTTTTCGATGCTCCATCAGGCAACGCAGATAAACAGACACCCGAACTCAGTGAGCCATTAACAGTAGAGAACGTTTCCTATTTCGTGTGTTTCATCGGCTTTTTAGAAGTCATTTTGGCAATGCTTGAGCATTTTGAACGTTTCCGGAACACTGATTTCTTCGCACAAAACTTCGAAGCATCTTCGCGATTGCTCACAGAAGGGGCTTCCTCTGTGAGATCGACGGAAACAAAATCCTAAATCCACCTTCTTCATGTAAATCAATTGGTCAACAAAAGAATACTGTGCTGAGCAAATACGGGTCAAATTCAAAATACTCGCATCGAAGTTGACAATAAGCCATACGACGTTGCTCTTTTTTGCATCTCTTTCCAAGCAGGCGAATTCCCCTGAAAACGTAACGAATACAATGGTGGATTAAATTATTCATTCTTGATAGAAATAAAAAAAGAAAAATGGGGAATGTAAGGAATGTGCCCTTTATCCTGCTTTTCCCTTTTCCATATCACCAGTGAACTTTGATCGCAATCCCATTTCCACTCCCCTCCCTTGGTAATCACAATTCAATCAATTAAAGCGACATTTTTAGAATCATCCCCACTTTTGTATCAAGATTGCAAAAAATGAAATAATGCAAGGCACTCTCTAAAATAAATTTCAAATATGTGCGGGCATTATACACAGACACACTGTCTGGTTCTTGGTTTCTCACTCTCCTTCGGGAAGAAAATCTAGGAAAATTTTCCCCAGTTACCTTGCTTCTCCTTATACTGAATTTGGTATCGAAATTCCAATACAACCTCTTTCTCTCATGCATTCAAAACATACATTTCCGAAGCAAGGTTTTTTTCCTAGCCGGGAATCCACAAAATAAGAGGTCAACAGAACAGGAAGTGCCAAGCAGACAAAAAATGATTGGAAGCATTTTTCAATTCACAGCAACTTCTGTGCCACTTAGCAATTGGTTTCTATACTGTACTGTATCTTACACAGCGGAAGAATCAAGAACACCATTGAAAAGTTTTTTCCAATCCATGCAGCACCTCAATCACAAATGTATTAAAAATCTCCCAAAAAATAAAAGCAAATTTTGAATATAAAGGTGAAGCGTTAAACTTGGTTAATCTGATTTAAGTTCATGCATGGGAGCCAGATAAATTCAGAACAAGAGGAAAAATTGCGACAGTTTTGATAGGGAACTATGCAACTATCACGTTACAGTGGCAAAAAAAAGTGCAAAAAAAATAAAAAAAGCCGAACATCTGCTGGCCACTGAGTAATTAATTTTGTCTCAACAAAATACGCTTCAGCTTTTCTTGTAAGAGCGTCGCTTGGAATTCTCGGGAGCGACTACAGTGGTAGTGGTGCTGTTGCTGCCAGGGCTATGGTGGTGATGCACAACCTTGTCCTTTATCTTCTTCAGTGTCGTGTATTTCAGCTTGGGCAACTTGTATTTCCGCTTGCCCTTGTCACCTGCAGCCGGAGACATGGATGCAGCAAGCAGCAGCGAGGAAGACGATGATGAACAACAACCAACAACGGCGTCACCGCCAACATGGTGCATATGCAGCAGGGCCAAGTTTTCCTCTACATTCAATGCACTTCGCAAGTTCCGGTCCGCCTCCATCTGCTCCACTAGCTCGTCCCTCTGCTTTACCACCTGAATCATGCGCTCTATGAGCTCAGCCTCCTCGCACTTTTCTTCCAGTGACACAATGCAGAGAGGCTGGGCCTGGATTACGCGGATCTGATGGTCCAGCTCAGCGTGTTGCTCGTTCAGCGCTAAGTCCTTCAAATCAAAGGACACCTCTTTCTGCCGCCATTTCAGGTCCTCAATCTCCTCGCCGATCAAGGCCAGATGCATCAGCTTGTCCAGCACCAGGGCCGCGTCCTGAGTATCCACTTCCTGCTTCTCCTCCTCTGTTTCCTTCACGGCGGCGGTACTGCCCTTGGCTCCTTCCCTAGCCACGTCCTTCTTGTCTCCTTCATGGTGTTCTCCTGACGAAAAAAAAAACCACAATACTTAATTAAGCCTTCAATTCACATGATACAGTATAGAGCAGAGTTCCCAATAAACCCGCGGTGTCGCGGACCGGCGCCAGTCCATCACAGAAGTTTTTTACCTGTCCACCAGAAATTTCTTTTAGCATAATAAATTTACTCAAAGTAGCAATGAAGTCTGTCATCTTTATCTGAAATGTTGGTAAGACAATGGCAGTTGAAATTCTCTAATGAAAAATGAAAGCTGGCTTTTCTCCTAATGAGGCTTCCAAACAAATTTTCACCGGCTGAAATGAACTACAGTATTTAAATTTTTAAATTTATAGAAACCTTTCTTCAAGCCAACCTTTACAATGAAAAAAAAATTTCCACTGAAACTGCTTCAGTGGTTCTTGACTTACTTTTTGCAAAAAAGCAGAAACTTTTTAAATGCTTGCCTGAAATCTTATTGAAGGGGAAGAATGCAGAACAATAGCGGCTCGGATGAAGATCAAAGATTTGGAATACGCAAAATTTGAACTCACGATCATTTTTGTTGTTTTTCATGATAACGTCATCCTTATCAGGTGATTCTTCTTCTTCTCGAGGCAAATGGTGGTCCTGCAGAACGGCATCATCGACACCAAAGATAGACAGTTGGTCCTTGATGGAGTCTCGTTGGCAACTCAACTGGTCTAGCTTTTCTTCCACAGCTTGTAGCTCCTTGGTCAGTTTATCCTTGAACCCGTCAGGGAATACACGCTTGGGTGGGATTGGGGCATTTGGCGCTGGCTTCTTCTTTTGCTGCGGAGTCCCAGATCCAGAAGAGTCCAGGGAGCCAATGGAGATGCGGCTTGTAGGTCGCTCTTCCTTCAGAGGTGGCGGCGGAGCTTTCTTTTTGTAACGTCGCGGCAAGGACTTGGGCGCTGACGGTGGCTTTGTTTCCACAAGTACGTTGTCTCCTTCTCCTTCGTCGTCTTCGTTGAAGGGATTCAAAGCTTCATTGTACAACTCGCTCAGAGGCATGGACAATCTGGGTGGTGGCGGCCGAGGTGGCGGATCAAACGGCGACGGTGACACCTCTTTACCCCCACTTGTCTGGGCTTTGTCTTTTTCGGAAGCCACTCCAGTGGAAACATTTTTGGATATACACAAGGTGTCTTCACACGCTGGACCCATGTCCACTTCTGGTTCATCATTTTTACCACTGTGGTAATCACTAATGTCACTTTTTGCCTTGTCATGCAAATGAGAAGCAATGACCAGGGGGACGGACAGAATTGGCACATTTTTGGGCATGCTTTTCAAAGACAACAGTTCGACAAATTTTGCTTCCTCCTCTGTCTCCTCATCGTCGAACGGATTCATATTGCCAGGATATTCCACAGACATAATTTATGGACGGATGAGTACTGCACTGAATCACAATGGCTTAATAAAACCAGTCAGACCGAATGGCACTGTACGGTTACAGGCTTACCGCACACCAGCTAGACGAGTAAAGTATGGCACAGATTTCCTAAAAGATAACAGTCATGTTACTAAATAATGTGGAGAACCATACACCAAAACAAGGGTTCTGAATAACACCAAGTTTCCAAGAGTTCCCTCTCTCCAACAATAAGGTTTTGACGAGGAAATATATACGGACTTCTAGGAGGAACACAATCCATTTTTATCATGATGGCTAATATCACAAAACACCAAATGTAGTCATATTACAAAAAGGTAGATTTAGAAGTTATGTCATCTGGATAACACCTTCAGTTGTCGTCCACAACTTTGGGAGTTGTTCCAGTTCGCCACTCCCGTAGTAGCAGGCAGGGCGTAATCCCCAGGTACAGCGTACTCCAGAGTACACCCTACCTAGGCAGGGTGTACTCCAGGAGTACACTGTGCCTGAAACAGAGGTCCAGGCACAGTGTACTCCATCAGGCAGGAAAACACCATGACTGGGGGGAAAACCTTAACTGAAACATCCCCACTGGTGGAAAACACTGCAACTGGGAATTCGGGGGGAGTACATCCTGCCTGATGGAGTACACTGTGCCTGGTCGTTGGTTCAGGCAGGATGGACTCTGGAGTATGCCCTGCCTGACGGTAGGGTGTACTCCTGGAGTACGATTTTGGGGGAGTACGCTGTGCCGCCCACACCGTCTCCTCGAGCACCATGCACTCACCAGAAACTTCTCTTTCAGAGCCAGCAAGTCCCCCCCCCCCCCCCCCTGCTATTGAGTGACTTCAATTTTAAGCATTTTTGGTTTAGGACTATGATCACAATAACTTCAAGGAAAAACCATTCTTCATATCATTCAGAGGGTTTCTGTTTGCTTTATAAATTCAATTGCTACTATACTCCATATGCTGAGTATATTCTTGTTAATCATTTAATGGAATACAAACTGGCAAGTGAGCTGTTCATGCTAAGAAGACCATAGGATCGTGTATAAGCAAAAGTTGCTAGTTGTCAACTTGTATTCCATATTAGATAATAATTCGTATGAATGGGTGGAAAGCAAGTGGCTTCAAATGACAGTTTAAAATCAGGTAAGTGGAGGAGGTCACCTAGCAACTTTTTTGTGTGAAAGTTGTCATTCAAACAGTTCTTGTGACAATTCTGTGGTAGATGCGGAATCAAAAAACTGCATGCCATTTGAAAGAGAATTGCTGAACAAGCTTGCAATTGGTGTTTTCTTCATTGCCACAGCTCAATTTTCTACTGAGCTATTTCAAGTCAAAAATTGGTTCACGTTTCAGGTCCACCCAGTATATATTACTATCACAATAATCAGTACAGTTATGGGTATCAAAAGTCATTAAGATTCTCTTATACTGTACATGCAATCTTGTTTCCTGCTGATTGACTATTTATTATGTGAAAGTACATTTTTATTGCCAATAATGATGGGTGCAATACTCATGAATCATGATACATCAGCATGAACATATATGCAGTGCAGTGCGGAAAATATATCTTCTAGAATCTATAGATGATGCGTATAGAGGTTAAAAAAGGATTATGCAGCGTTGGAATATAGAGAGCTGTTTCAATTGATAAAATTGGAAGTGAGAATTTGTCTTAGAATGACGCGTCAATTCTCCACGATTGATGACCTTTTATTTCTGATTTCACCTTGTCGTCGCCACATATATCGCGCAAATCAAATAATATGATGAGTTACATTCCTTGACTTCTTTATTCATACGCAACTGAATGAACGACCAATATAATAATAATAAACCCCGCACATCTCATTTCGTCCGACTCCTGAAAAGAAAAAGAATAAAAGAACAGAATTGTTTTGTTGTTTTATCAGTCCCGAATCCCGATCAAAACTGCGTTTGATGTTGATTCTTACCATATACCACAGGCGTATTTTCTTCACTAGTATCATAAGTGCAGCGCACATTCAGACGATCTCCCTTTTCCAATATGACAGAATTGATATTTTCAAACACCTGAGGATTTTGTGGATTTCCATGGTGAATGTGCGAATGCTGTCCCTTTGTTTGAAGATTTACAAACAAAACGTAAGTAATAATTAATGAAATTTCTTTGACGAGAAATGATAAATGCCATTATATAAATATTTACCGTCTTAATTGTGCGTTTGTTGAACTCAACTTTGGTTCCGTGTTTATGGGTATGGACCATCACTGCATAGAGTGCTGCAGGACCGCCTCGGACTGAACAGGAATGATCCACCTTGGCGTCTTTATAATCGGAAAATTTTTGCGAAACCAAACTGCTGTATTTGTTCAAATTTGAGAAATACGCAACTTCAACTCAAAATTGGGTTCAAAATCGGGATGTCTTTTATTCAGTTGCTGGTTTACGATGGGATTTATATTGGCGCGCGTATTTTGGATTCACGGAATAATAAGGGCACGTTTGTTCCAGACCGAAATGAAAAATCTGACTAAAATTTAATTGAAAAATATAACGATGTTAAATTTTGAGCTTCCGAGAGTTATAATCACAGTTATTTTTAGAAGTTACTGTACAGTATTTGAGAAAGTTAAGCTGGAACTCGACAAAAGCGTGAGTTAATTGAATCGACGGACTCCGATAATTATAGGAGTCTGTCAAAAAATCAAGACAGGCATTGTACAGTACAGTAATTGATTAATGACTTAAGTAAAACCTAAAAATTTCATCAGCTTTTCTACGAAAAGATACATGAAACCTTCGTACTCATCGAGCCTGCAGGAAGATGGACAGATTTTGACGGTGCTTCAATGGAACCAGTCTTGAAGATAATTTTTGGTCTAAAAAAATTTAATGATTTTATATTAATTTGAAAACAGGATAAGGAGATAAAAAAAATTCACTTTTGTCGGGTCAAATGAAGCCTGAATCCACTCTGATCATTGTTCAATGGCACGAGATAATGCGTTGTCAGGGTTAATTTGGTTCCTTTGCGCAAAAGCATTCCCGAATCCGGCGGAAATGTAAACCCCGTGGCTCTGTTTGCCCATACAAAGTATGTCCTGGAGATGTAAAACATCAATTTGGATGCAAGAAAATTTCAATTGTCAATATCACTTGCTTTCACATACGGGTGTCAGCCCTCTAATTCATTCTCTCGATTGTTCATCAGTATTAGAATGACCTGATGAAATATATATATATGTTGTGGATCTCATACATTTTAAATAATTCGATTTCCAATATCCTTAATAGATAAATGCTTCATTTGATTAAATTCACAAAAAAATTATAGAACTTTACCATATCTACGTTCATTACTTCAGGATATTTGAATTTGAAGAATGATTGAGACATACTTCAAAAAGGAATTTATTTTTCGAATTTTACCAAAAAAATACAGATGTGTTTTCATCAAAACATCTGGCATTCTATAAAAGGAAACAGGGAAATTCAGATATTGTTCCATAACTCAATATAATTTTCTCATTATATTATGTATCATTAAAATTTTAAATTTGCTTACGCAGGAAAACTTGTGTCTGGTGGAATAAAGGCTGTTACATTTTACGTGAGAATGTTGGAAAATTAAAACTTGCCTCAGAAATGATGCAAGAAGTGTTTTCCAGAAAGGAAAACTTGATGAACACGAATTATAAATGCTCACAGAAAAATATGCAGTATTGTTTAAGCTACAGAAATTTGAAAATCGACCCGTACACTGCACTCGGTCTTTAAAATCATTTTTCAAGAATTCATTCCAGAAATAAGCTACAAATGAATGTCAAATTAATCACTGGAACCTATATTCACCCATGGTTTGAAGAGAGGATCATGTGATGGTTTGTGTCCAAATTTACTTTGAGCAGCTGAAAGCCCGTGACAAATGCGTCATCGTAATCGTAAATCCTGTTGACGACTTCATAGGCATCCGGCTGTGCGAGGTTTACAAATAATTGAGGATTAAGTATTATTATTTATTAATTCAATAGAAGGAAATTAATAATAAACCGAACCCTTTTCGGCGAATGATTCATGCGCACATCCAAGTAAAACTTGTGAGCAGTGACAAGCCGAGGCTTGATTTTTTTAGCTGCGTCGTTCAGAAGCGAAAAATTGGTTTTTACTTCAGTGAAATTCGCATTTGACATTTGCTGCTGCAATGCCAGAGCCACGAATAAAACCACGAGAAATGCCATTTCTATTCTTTGATAAATATAAAAGGTTAGAACGATATTTAATTTTCGAGGTCTTTGACGATGCAGGAAAGAAAACAAGCAGGGATTTCAGTTCGCTATATATACTGCTTCTTGCTATATATTGATGGCACACTCCAAGCATCAATCAAACTTTCACATTGACTTTTTTTCTGACATGTAGTCCTAAAGAGCGATCCATATCATCAATCGAGAATGTGATCAAGAAATCCGGAGGATGACATGTGAAGGAAAACAGCAGTATTTACATACATCTGATTAATAAATGGATTCATGCATTCATTCATCAAATTTTCAATGGCTGTTTTTCAAACAGTTTTTCGTGATCATCACCTATAATAAGTTCATCACCCTTCATAGAAGACGATCACCAATTCAAGCAGGAGGAATGGATTACGAAGGAGCAATCAACTTCAACATGTGTTTCATTTAATGGCATACGGTACAGTAAGTACTTGAATCTGAATGATAAATTTTGTGCAATTATTGAAAAGAAGAAAATAACACCCAAAAATTTTCGAAGTCATCCCGGGACACTTTGCTCAGCCTCGATCGGCATAAGCTCAAGTTTTCCATCAGCTGTGAATACTTTCACGCATGACCAATTATAAACCTCTCCTCCGAAACTGACTCCACCGAAAATGAACATGGACACAATAAAAAAAAAGTATGACGGCACTTTTTACAGGAAGTATTTCAAACCCTGATCAGCTTCCCGTCAGATCTTGGAATATATTTGTGTAACCTCTCGCCATTATTGTAACAATATCCCACGCTATATACTCGTAATTAGTTGACACCCACTGAGAAAACCGTCACGGCAGGATGAAAATAAATACTTCCGTTGGTTTTTCCAATATTTGACTAACAGGACTTGGTGAATACCTTGTAAGAGGGTGATCAAATTGATCATGATCAGTCAAGTGATTTCCAAATGAGGTCACACCTGCTGGAAAATATGAAAAAATCCACGTACGCACACACAGTGGATATACACGCATTCAAGCATCATCGTGTGTCAGTAAAATTTATTTTAAAAAAATCGATGAAAATACTTTACATAACGGAGGATACCTCGTCGATCTGCCTGCCTTTTTCAAAAGCAAATTTAAGAGAAAAAAATCCTGAATGAAAATTAGGACGCATTGTTTTTTGTTTTTAGCACAAAGTTTCCTACATTTTGCTTAATTTTCAAATTTTCCAATGATTATTTTTGTTGGCAAAAAATGAAAACCGAAGTGCATTTCGCCTTTTTCTGAAAGTAAGAGTTCATTTCAATGTTGTTTATTTCCTCTTCAAAAACAGTGTCCAAGGCCAGTATAGTTTATGCCTGGGATGTTTTTCTTATTGCCTCGAAATTTAACAAAACATTCAACTAAAAATGTAACTACATACGCATCTGAAAAAATCCCAGAACCTTACATTAGAATGGGCTACATCATGGATTTTTTCTTTACAGTGGTGCCTATACTCTAGAAATACCCTAGGACAATTGGAAGTGCATGGACAACCCTCCTAATGACTTCATTGCCGAGATCCCAAGAGAAAATTTATTTCAACAAAAAAGGATATGTTGAGTTGAACCTGAATTAGTTCTAAAAAAAAGACGCTCACCTTTGCTGGTCAGCAGAAAATATCATATGATTTTTTCCAGGATTCACCCGCAACAAGTCGAATTTCGTAATGTAGGCGTCTCCAGCAGAATCATAAATTCTGTCGCCGACTTCGTATAAGCGTCCGGCTGTAGACAGTATAATGAAATAAAATGAAGAATTACTGCGCTTCGAATATCCATACTTGAATGGAATTATGAATTAGGCGAACCGTTTTTGGTGAGTTTCGTTCATGGTCAAGTCAATGTAAGATTTGTCAGCTGTAAGAAATATGGGTTTAAGTTTCACCGGAGCGTTGGATTATTCAAATAAGCTTTGCGTCAGTCGAAAATTTGTTACGTTACAATATGACACAAGCAACAGCGAAAATAAAAAATAACATTTTAGTACTTGCAGACAATATCCTTGAAATTTGAACGAGGTTCGCAGCATACCATCAGTCGTTGAAAATATTAAAACGACGCTTTCACATGTACTGTACAGTACTGCATCAGCCTGCTAGCTGCGAAAATTGCTCATTACCCGTTCCATGACGAACTAATCAGTCAGCAAACTCAGCACAGGCGTGTTCGCCAAAAATCCTTGATGGAACATTCGTCCAAATAATTTGACAAAATGATCGATATTTGAAACTGACGGGGAATCTGGCGGGTAATATAAATAAATAATAAGAAATCCCTCTATATACAATTAAAAAAAAAGTTGTTCCTCATTCAAAAAGACTGCTCAATCACCATTAGAGCATTAATTAGTTAAATTGCAACATCAACCTTTCCAATACAAGGGTAGGTTCATAAGTCTTGGGACCAATCAGCACTTCAGTCATAGTAGGCAGACAAAATTTTTTATTGCTTTTCAATCCTTTATCAAGGCCTAATAATTTTGTGTGCCCATCCAGCTACAGATGTAAACAAGAAAAAGAGTTCACAGTGAATGCCCTCCACTGAAGTGAAGTGTGATCCAGATCAATGGCACACATGCATTCTCAACAAATTTGGGGGTGCTCTTGAGTGTTTCTCAAACATCAAATATCTCAAGTGATGAAGCTCCAGATGGTGCAACTTCTCATAAATGGAAAAAAAAGTTCAAAAAAAACAATATCCGTATCAGTGATGCCCAACATGAAGGAGTCCCAAAATTTCAACCAGTGAGCAGGATGTGGCCCATGTGGAGACCCTGATCAAAGAGGATCTTTTCCAAACAAGAAGATTGCTGATTGTAGCCTTGGGAGATGCATCCCATGGCTACATGGAGGATCCTCACTAAAAAGCTTGGCTTCACCAAAAAATGTGCTCAGTGGATCCCAAAAATTTGATTAGGGCCTCCACAGAAGGCAGAATTTATAACATCACAAATTCATTTCAACAAATTGAAGAGTTTCAAGAAAATCATGATTCTAGAAGTTCCACAAAAGATCCATTTTTTATGTTAGACAACCTAGTCTTCACGCGAATTTCAAGGAATAAAATTCAATGAGCCTCATAAATCATTATCCTTTATCACCGGCAAACAAAGTTTTATGATACAGGAAAATCACGCGGGTGCATCCACTTTTTGCTGGAAAGGAAAAAAGACCAAAAGCGGATGGCATTTAAGATTTGTGGAAGTTCCACCGAACTAAAAGAAAGACCATCTCCGTTAAGGCACCCACATTCACACACATGCCACCATGACGAAATCTTCGCATCTCAAATGTTTTTGTGGCATCTTCATGAAGTCCTCCTGGAACACAGCCGAAGGCAAAACTAACTCAAGAGCGTACAGAGAAGTGCTACTTCCGTCGAAGACGATTGCAGGAAGATCCAGCATATTTTCAACAAGGAACATAACGAGGGGTTGAATTAAATACAATTCCTTTCCCCACTGGGCGGATTATAAAAATCGCGTTTATATAACACGACCATCTGGAAGCTTCTTGGCTTATTTCTCAGCCAATTTTCGTTGTGCGCACCCATCGAGCGGTTCAAATGTTATCCTTTTTGTGTCCTTCATCCACATACATATGGCATTTCCTCACATTAGAACAAGCTTCCTAAAAAAATTCCGGATTATGAACACAGGCGAAACCAAAAATCTTGCTGAACAAAAAAAGGAATGTACACTCATACTCGATCAGGCTTTGGATCAACGGTTTCTACAGGATAACAAATTACTCAACAATCAATCTCGAGTACTCCCAAAATTCTAAATTACAGTCAAACCACGTTCACAGAACTTTGCGCGACGTAAAACATTAGATTTAAAAAAAAACTTGAACTTTGATAAAAATGGACACGAATCCTAATTAAAATTTCCCAGGAGTCAATCGAGTAAAAGAACAATTAATCTTGTCAGAGAATACTGCTCAATATCATAAAAATTGCCATGGAACATAATTAGCTAAAAAAAAATTCAATCGAACATCTGCCGAAATTGAGAAGAAACGAAAATGAAAAACAAACGAGCCATCACAAGATTCACAACACGACGCACAACCGCGCAGATGACGATTGTCCAATTTTTGGAATGGCGCGTCAGCAAACAAATCCCGAACAATGGACAATAATTTTTGCAATGTGCTTCTCGGGGGACCTTGAACAATTCCATCATACTTCCAATGTGCATCACATTAATCTTTCATGCTTCAACAGAGTCCTCGACGAAGTCAATACTCCGATAAATTACATTGATAACTCATATACGCGAAATAAAATACAGGAATGACCGAGAAATTACAGAATAACCCCGAGTAGTTGATCTACGAACATTTATGACAATTTCGAAAGCTCTTGGCTTCGGATTAGAGCCAGAACACTAAACAGGCTTTTGAAATACAACGCACTTACAGAATGAAACGGCTTCAGTAAAAAATGATTTTTTCACTACCTTCGGATTTTAAGCCCATCTCGAATTTGACATTCAAATATTTACCCCCGAAAGCCGGCGCGTTTTAAACCACGAAAGGAAGATTAGCATCCGGTGAATGTCCTAGCAGGAAAACGGTTATAATGAAAGGAATTCAAGGCCCCGTCGCGGAAAGTTGGAGAACAAGAATTTTAGCGCAGCTCATACATATGCTCGCCAAATTTTATCAAGGTTTCAGAGCCGGAGGTGAGGATTTGCGGTGACGATTGGGGGCGAGTTTCGAGAACAAGGACTTCTTGGAGCGGCGTACGGCTTTCGCATCAGTCTGAGAGGCGACATCTTCCGGCGTGGGTGGCTTCTCTCCATCGCCCGCGCTCAGGGTTTCACAGGTGTCGCCGCTTGCTTGGCTTCGCGTGTTAGTCCCGGAGAGGCCACGCGTCGCGGTCGGTGAACCATTTGGTGCTGGGACTCCTCGAGCCCTCGCATCCAGCGCCGACTCAGACTGGGACTTGCCTGGACTTTGCTACAAAGAAAGGAACGTAAATTACTATCATTACAGGGACTCGTTAGAATATAAAATCGCAAATTTCATCCCCAAAATTTATTCTTAGGATTTGCGCATCTCATAATCCTCTATGCAAGATTGACAAGTGAAGTCCATGATCGCTTTTGACAAACTCAAAGTTCCTGAATAGAATTCACTTGGACAAATCTTGAATACAATTCAAGTTCAAGGGCATTTAAGTCAGAATCGAATTTCCTGATGGCAATTTTAGGAGATTTAGGTAGTACAGTATTTAAAGCACAATTGGCATCATGTGGAATTTAGATCACAATCGGCATCATGTTGAACTAGAAGAAGAAATATCTGAAGAAATTGAATACGATGGAGTGAATACAGAAAGCACTGCTGAATACGCGTTATCTGAAGTTCTGCGAATCCCGAACCACGACGAGGCAGACGAAAATCATGAAAATATTTTTTTTAATTCATCAATACCTTCCTGTAAATAGCTTGCCAAGCTTCATTCATCTCAAATTATTGTTAAAATTTGAAATGTACAATATTATATCTCAATTTTGGACCGAAACTTCCAGCGCATCGTCTCGAATACTCAACAGCTTCAACTCAAACATCTCTAGACTCCAGAACGCTCACTTAAAAGAAGAACAGCATTACGTCACTCAGAATAGTCATTTAAAAGTCTACTAATCCCAGCACAGAGTCAAACACACCAGCCACGTGGGCATTTACCACGGACAGGAATTATTTAAAGTGGTTTTAGTACGGCTCTTCTACGTACATGCACAATCTGAACGCAAAAACAAAGGTGATTGGTAAAAATCATTCGGAAAGACTTTTCTGAAGAAAAAAATCTTCAACGAATACGTAAGGCAAATCAGGGAGTGACGGGAAAGCAAAACAAAATTTGAATACTCATTCCAATAAATATAAGAATAAATACTCGAGTCTCCGTTTTCTGGTTTTAGGCGATATCGTCATTAGAAGAAAACACTGAAGAGAACACGAAATATTTTTCAACAGCGATGACTTAACACAAAGAAAATGTATGCTTCAATCAAACAAAATAAGAAAAAATAAAACGCTACGGAAAAACATAGCTACACTATTCCGATCCCACGAAGGTGAATTTAGAACACCTTTCAAGCAGATTTTGAACTACGCGGTCATTCTGGGGGCGACTTTATACTTGAGAAAAGAAGTTCAGTCGCATTTGAGAAGATCAAGCTTGAAACTGAAGCACGCTCAGATTGAGTCGTAAGTGCGTATTATTTTCATGGGCAACATTTGCTTTTATATTTTTCAGATATAGAAAATGGTGATGCGGCTATAATCGATGACGTCTTATATTCGAGCAAACATGGCCCGTGTTCGCAACAGGAATGACAGCGTGATTCGAAACAGCTCAAAAGACGTTCGGGAACCATGTGGACGGTTAACCTGGGAAATTCAGAATAAACGTGAGATAAGCTGCTGAATGCAAACGCTGAAGTTCATTCCATGCGTAAAACGAAAGCAAAATACAAAAACGCAGCCACGTCAAAAGTGACGACTCAAACCATGGCACCAGAAACCGACCTGCAGCAAAGCCTCCCTTCCGACAGTGGCGGCGGCGACTGCCACACTGCCGATAGGCTCCATGCCGGCGTCGTGACTCAGCGACTTGTTCGACATGCGAACACGTCGCGTCAGCCCGACGGCAGACATTGGCCGCGACGAAAACGACGCGCCGAAGACGTCCTCCTCTCCTCCTCCCACAACCTTCCTGCACGACCTTTTTGCGCAACCACAACGACGGCGATGAATGAGCGAACGAAACATGAGAGAAAGCCAAAGCCAACAGGGGTGAGTTGTGCGATGTGAAAACTTTTTTTGGTTACCCCCAGGGCTTTCAACACAGCGACATGAATTTACACCATTCATTGTACAGTACCATTAATACGGTTATCTTGTACAACAATTTCGAATCCGAGCGTTTCACCAAATGTTTCAATATTTTCACAAGTTGAACATCACACATACGAGGGTTGGTTCATAAGATTTGTCAGTTCTAAACTTTCATAGTTGGAGTCTTGGATGGATCAATAGAGACTGACGTTATTTTCCACAATTTCTTGATGAACTTTCCAATACTTTCTAACCCAAGATGAAATGTGAAAGAAAAAGTTAGAGGTGCATCCCTAAATGTAACAAGGTTATTCACACAAGAATGTTTCATGAATTCTTTCTTGCTAATTTTGATCATGTACAATTTTAAAATACGTTAAGTTCGAATTACATGCTTCCGGAGTTAATTAAAAACTCGACTGAGAGCAATTTCAATCTTATCGACCCCTTCGAAATAATTTAAGAGACCTAAAGCTCATCTGCAAAGGAAAGAAAAAATTATGAACTGCACAAGTTTCCTTGAAGGGACCACTCATTTTTAAGATTGTACGGAGCATCAACCCGAGGACAAGCATTTGCAATAGTCAAGGCAAAGAACATCAAGAAAATCCACTTGAACTTGCTTTGAGTCTCGTCGGTGCGACGTTCGTTTTGAACATTTACACAGGGAAACTACCACCGATTCATGAACCATCCCTCATACCTCGCAAAAACACAACAACTTCATAAATAAAATTTTCTTTGTCTCATAACTTGAACAGATTAACCACAACCTCCATTAAACCGTCAAAATTTATTGGTAATGAGCAAATGAAGTTCGATGAAAACCTTGAAGTCTGTCTCTAGAAGGAGTAAAGAATTGAGCATTAAATTTAAGAAATTCAATTCACAAATACAGAAAAACAGGAAATAGTTGCCCATAACAACAGACATATCAATGAAATCTTCATTTGCAAGACCACATCTTGATTTTTCTGTAGCTCAGAATCAATGCTGAATGAAATCATAGCACAATTAACAGAACAGTTCATTAATTTAAACAAATACTGTGATCAGCTTATCAAAGACGAGCACTTGAAAATTAAGGAGAATGTGAGTCGGTTTGCGATCAAAAAACGCTACAAGAAAATTCTAAAAGCAAAAAAACATCTCTGCTCAACCGCGTTTCAATCGCAAGAATGCTGAAATCTACCAGCACGGACATGATGCAACGTTTCGTTTACAGATAATAAAGTCTATCATCATGCACAATGCGATCAACTTCGTCTTACCTTCTCAAACTTTGAAGATCATCTTCGATCGAATTCGCAGGAAATTCGTCCAAAGCCTCGCTTTCTGAAACATCTTTCAGTTGGTCAAGCATCGTAGAGGAGGGCGAACGACGTGGCACGCTGACACTCATGCCCACAATGGCATTTGAAGACTTGGAATGCGGGAAACCATGTGCGATTTGGTGCAGGTAAGCATCTCCGCCTAATTCGAAGTGCAAAACCGATGATTAACTTCCTACACAGGAGACCTGAGGAATTACTTCCAGAAATAAAATATTGAGGTTCCACATTGTATCTGACAGTTCAATACAAGAGAGGAGCCACATTTTCGGGTTCAGTCAAATTTTAGAACAATAATTATAAAAAAGGAAATTCATAAGATCGCATTATACAATTGGAAAAATGCGTCCGACTTGTTTCCAAATGACGAAATAGTTTTCAAGGAATGATGGGGGAAAAAGTCAGCCATTAGTGCATTATAAGGATTCATCAACACGTACGCTAGTTTCAGGTTAATCGAATGCATGAGAACGATTCAATAACCTTCTCTTATCAATCGATGATTCGAATACTTTTTCGACACCCTCTGCAGTACTGAGCAATCACATCGGAATCAAGTCATTTCTGGTAGGAAATAAACATTGTCAAAGGAAAAAACATAGCTTGGTTGGTAGAGATTTTGAATGATCATCATTCACAAAAATCTGACCATCTACAAAATGCGCTACATTAGAATTAAATTCCTCCCGAATTTTTCAAAAAATTTGACTGAGCGCGAAAATAAGATACCTCTCGTAAAACCAATAAAAAGTTCAGTATCGTGTTCGAGGAGGGACATTTACGAAAGGAACCCTGCGGGAAAGGCGATGGTTTCTTCGACCCAACCGCCCGCACGGAAATGCATCAAGTATCAACAATAAAGAAACCGAACCTAATTTTACTCCCATTCAATCAATGAAAGGTTAGAGAGGGGGGGGGGGGAAGGAAGGCACCCAAATTATTATGGAAATCTCGCCACATGAGTAACGTGCGGGCGTTTAAGTGCAAGTACATATGACTGTCACCAGTCAACCAGAACCACAAGAAACAAAAAAAAAAAGCTAATACAATACGACATAAGCGAGTGAACGGACATGTACAACGACGAGGCTGGAGCACTGAAAATGTGAACGACTAGATCTGACGAGAGCTGAAGCGAAGCCTCGGTGCAAAGTGAATTAGCTAACGAACTCGTATAAACGTGACCCGCTGCGTTCTTGGAAAAATGACAGCACAGGATTCTTCTTTTAAAAGCATGATGAGCGACATTTTTGCGTTATTTTCTTGAAAATCAAGAATGTAACGAACGAGATGTCCCCTGGACTCAAAGAATACTGTACATCGTTCATGTCTTGTATCACTGCACTGAGGCACGTAAATGAAACAATGAAGATCATTGAAGGACAACCATGATGCGCCACAAAAGACTTCCAAAAAGTGAAATTAAAAAGTCCGACTCCAAAAACGAATCATAGAACAGAACAATTGCGCTACTAAGTTCCATTAAAACAATTCCATGGGCTTCGAACTGATAGTCAAAACAATTGAGACGGAGAGAACAGAGGGAAATTTTTACATCATCCTGACATCCAAAGAAAATAAGCGACTTGTCAAGATAGAAATTATCGACCCAACTTCCACCAGCTTTGCAAATAATGGATGCACAGTGGTTCGAGCGTAAAAAACCAAAATTTTTTCCATATTCATAGCACCGAATACGTTATGCCGGGAATGTTGTTCTTTCTCAGTGCTAAACATTTCTTCCGACAGTGATGTTCAGGTCACAATTCATAACATTCACACTTTCTTGAGTCCAGCACCTTCTATTAAATAGTTTTACGTGGTACTATCATGCAACTACATTCTTGAAAAGATTCAGTTACACTGGCCCAACTTGACAATCGAAAAATGTATCTCTTGAGAGATTTCAACACGGATTTAATCGACATCTGACGATTCAGCTGATGGCATCACATGAGACCTATATCCAACAGAAAAGTACAATATAATCTTTATATTTTAAATCCAAATGCTATCGTCCACAGACAAGTACTTTAGCGACGCACGTCAGATTTGTAATGCATCTCCACCAAATCGGAGAGGCCCTGGAGTTCTATTGAGGAATCTGTAACTCAAAACGTGTGTGTTTTTAAACCTCGTTTATTCACAAAGTTTAACACTGAACCAGTCATTAGCCTCAGGAAGAGAATCACTAACCGACACTATACACTTGAAAAAAACAAAACAAGCAGGTGTTTTTTTTGACGGAGATCTTGATGGATTCTGTTTTCGTCGGCTGAAACCCGGCGTCCGCCTTCCGAGTCAGATCCGAGCCCGGAACTCACCATTCGCTACAGTCCTGACGCCGTTCCCGCAAATGGCCTCAAAGGAGATCTGAGTATTGGACGGATGAATTCCGCCATTGGTCTGAGACGAACTCGTCGGCTCAACCCCGGAATGCGTGCTTTTTTTCCTCCTGACGAGCACCCGGGGGCCAACTTGACTCACGCCTGTGCCTGTCGACCCGTGAACGGGATGGATAAACATGGGCACGGAACTCCACACCAGTTTCTCAACTGCAACATTCCCCCACACACGAACCCAGCCATGTTTCCGTTTTTTTTTTTAAATTCCCCCGCGATCGTTAATGCCGAGAGCCAAGAAAACGCCGCACCGACACCGTGGGAAAAGCGAATACACAAAGCAGCACGGAATCCATAGCACAAAATCGAGGTGCACGAAGGGAGAAAAGAAATACACACAACAGCATTAGTATTACAAGAAGAATGCCGCGTTCTAGTAAAACAAAAATTGAAACATGATCACTCAAGTCTTCAAAAAGTGCCCCCCAAAACAAAAAACAAACAAAAAAACATCGAGACATTGAAGCGAAGTACTTACCGACTGATGGCGCATAAACGGAGCCAGCATCGTCTTCATCTTCGCCGTGATGGCTTCCGTTCATCCTGGAAACCACTGGAAAGGTATTTCAAAACAATGAAAAAGTCATTCTCGATCAAATTACCACCAATGAAATTTCGAGTGGATTTTCAGCATTTTACAAGAGGTTTAGATTTTAAAAATCTTACGCTTACAACGAACACTTCTTTCTTTAACCTTTTGAATACTTCTACCAATATGGAACACTAAAATCAAACGCGTGAGTCCTTGAATATGAAGATTTGAACGAGTTACAAGTGAACTCAGTTTTCATCACAAATATTGATTTTTTCCTGTCCCCTTTTCAAGGAGGACTTTCATCGGGAAATCCTCGTATTTCATTTCATTTCACACCCATTTCAATGATTATCGGCATAAATCGTTCACCATAGAATTAGACATTCAAAATCACACCCATTCATTTTCACAGGTTCATCCTGAAGATTAAGTAGGCAAAAAATCTTGGAAAGTTTAAAATTCATTTGTCGTACTGGCGGTTGAAGAAAAATTAAGAGTTCCTTTTCAACCCAACGAACCCAGACCGAACGATAATTAGCCGCGTATCCCGAAGAATAGAATATGATGACCATGAGCATGATGCAACACGACAGGATCATTTAAATCCCCCCATAAACAAAAAAAAATGTCTTACATATTATGCGTACACTTTTCTGGTCACAAGGTTTCGTGGGAATTTTTAATCGGTCGAAAAATGTAAGAAGCTGACCTGACGGCGCGTAGCTACCAGAGCCCAATGAAGAACCTCCTCTCATCAGCATCTCCAGATGGTTGTAACCGGGATTATTAATGATAGAACAGTTGCACAACCTCTCGATCTGCTGCCACCGGTTCATTCTTTCTTGCAAATCGTTCGTAACTTCGACCAAAGCTGACCTGCGAACAATTAATCTCTTCATAAATCCCACTCGACGAACTAGTTATTAAAATGTTCACACTAACTTTGCTTGGAGAATCGTCGTATCAACGTCATCAATATTCTTTCCATGAGCGCTCACGAAGGAACCTATCAAATTCGATCGTCGCTTCTTCAGCTTCTCACACGCCTCTTTGGCTTGTGACAGTTGCGAATGAGCAGCTGCCTTTTTTGCATTGAAGTACCTCAGTTCGGTTTCAAAGGTCAGTTGCAGCCAGTTTTGCAGTTCAGGCGGCGCAAACCAGCATCTATCAGAAAGTTCCTGCTCAGCTCTTTCCCATTCAGTTCGGACAACAGTCAGTTCTTCTTTCAGCCGCGACACTTGTTCTTCTAGCGTGTACTCCGAATCAGCACCCAAATCACACTGAAAATGAGGGGGGAAAATGAAGATTAGGAGACATGAAATGAAAGCATGTTCACGTTTTGAAACCAAACGAATAATACCTTTTGCGTGATTTCCCGTCTGATTTTCTTTTCAAGATCGTTTCGTTTCGTCCGTTCGATTTGCTCATCTTCTTCCTTCGACGCCGACATTTCCTTCTGCATATTCGCCAGAGCGGTCTCAGCCTTACTAAGGCTTTCCATATCGATCATCATTCTTTTCAATTGCTTCTGAGATCGCTTGTTCTCCCGGTAGGCATACCAGTAACAAGCCAGCGTGAATAATAACAGCACCAGGAGAATAGTTTCTTTCCAAATGTGGTAACGTTCCGCTGAAATGAAACCAAGCACCATTTCTTATTGCCAAGCAACGAGAGAGGAGGCAATGATTTCGAAAATTTTGCGAACAACCTTGACGGCGTGATTTCTGACGACTTCGTTCGAATCACTCAATCTGAGAAGCTACTGCGAAATGTTTAAAAGGCACTTCGGCTTTCGAGCGTAAAATATCGAATCAAAAGCCTTGCACATGTCGCATCAGATTGGAGAAAAAGTGAAGCGATGTAATACTTGAGTGATCTTACCTTTCGGAGCACCAAATAATACGATGTCCATCGCCTTCAACGATATCTTCTGGCGATGAATCGGATCCCTTATTCCCAGCACATCGGTCATGAAGCGACTATTGGTGGCCAATCTGCGCGTGGAAATGGAGAAATATTCTTCGCACCCGTATAGAAATTAAGAAAAATCCCCCCTCCCCCAAGGAACCACAAATAACATACGTAGGCAACAAGGATCCGTTGATTTGATAAGTGACGAAAGTGTCGACATATTGTGGCAAGTCTACATTGTCAGCCAGCCATTCTCTCGTTTGATCGACAGTCCAGTTGTGAACCTAGAGCGGACAAAGCAAACATCGGGAGGATCGAAAAGGAGGGGAAGAAAGTGAAGATTAAAACATTTGCAAATACTTGATGCAAAACTGAAAAGTAAGCGAGGAATTTTCAACGGCCTGCCTACCGACAAAGCCATGCGATTCCCAATAGATTCGTTGTGCGTTGTGTTGGGATCCAGTCGTCTTAGTTTTTCATATCAAAAATGCTAAAACCGGTTCTGAAACTGCTCCTCAATCAAGTCATTTTTCGATTTAAAAAAACTAGGAAGAAAAACATGAAGAAAAAATCGTCGCAAAAACCCTGAAACACGAGCAGAATAAAAAAGGTAAGAAACACGAAACGACGAAGCTAAAAGTTGAACGGATTTGGCTAATCAACTTCTCAACTTTCGAATTTTAAATTGTAACAAACTTCAGAAGTCTTCCACAATTCACGGTGTAAAAACAATGCGTCCACTACTAATTCGAAGAAACACGTAAAATACTTCGACACCAGATAAAAAAATGCGGGTAGCTACTAAATCCAAGTCGACAAACGAATAATAAGGAGAGGCTCACGAACAATTTGGTATCACGGTGGATTGATTACACGTAGAATAAAGTTTTCGAAAGCTTCTCGAACCTTCATATCATTCAAGAATTACTTAATTCAATTTCGCTCTAATTGTAAAAAAAAATCCATGAAAACAAGGTATTTTTTCAAATGTTGAGGAAATTTTATCAGATCAAATGCAGCCCTTGTCCAGCGGCACATACTTGCTAGTTATAAACACCGAAACTCTTATTAAAATTGACAATGAAAATTTACAATTTCACAATAGGTAGGACCTTTCAGACAAGCATAGATATTCCACAGGATACGTTAACCATCTCACAAAAAAACCCGAACAGATGTAAAAAAAAAACTCGCAAATTGAAAAAAATATAACGAATTCGAAAAGACGCATGTAAACCACAGGGTTTAAAAATTCAAAGCATATTCTTTCAAGAAAAATGATAACCCGACGATAGAAATATGGAGAGATAAACGCGATATCCTGAGAAATTTCACGAAAAATGGAAAAGGGTTGTACTCGTTTCCGACAAGTTTAGTGAGTTAAAGATAAACTTGTTAGCACGTGTAGGGGAAATGTTTATCATGATAAAGTTTATTTCGCTCCCAACATAATACGGCAGATGCTTTGCAATCTCTGCCAAGTTCTCACCGAACAAAACAAAGAAAACACGCTTCACTTTTAAAACAAAAGAAAAATTGTGTTCTGAAATCTCCGCGAAAGAAAAGGCTGGGTTTAAATAACAAATAAATTTAAAGATACAACGTACTGTACTTTCGTCAATTATTAAATGAATACGCCAATTTCGCCTAAGTCAACTACAAAGATATTTTCTTACGAGTCGTATAGACCTGACATTTTTTTTTATTTCTTCGATTTTATCCTCCACGCATTCATATTCGAAACAAAATGTACAGATAGGAGCAGCTACGGTTGATTGAACACAAGTCATAGTAATATTTTAAAAATGATAATCGCATGAACGGTTAAATAGTTTGATGATTTCATGTTCGCATATGCATAGTTTTCCTCAAGATCAACTCCCGCCGTAATTCATGATTTTATTTCCAGTACCAAGCACACGGGATTCCCAGAAGGACACGATTTCTGGCGAAGAACGACTAATTTCACGCAAAAATACTCGATTAAAAAATCAAAGTTTCATCGCAAACAAATTTCAAAAAAAAAAATCGACGCTGTAGAGACGTGAGTCGGAAATGTGCAACCAACAGGTGCCCACGAAAGCATAAAAAAATGCCAGCTTTAAAATGAGTATTTTTCTACAGTGCAAGAAATTGAAGAGCTTAAGTCGAAAGTGCACGACTAGGTGAAGTATAAAACCGCAAGTTTCTGTCAAGTTTTTGATGAAGTGCACTAGCTGTTTTGAACACGTGCCTTTGATACGTTTCGATTTCACGCCATTTCTCTCACGAGACTTGCTCATAACTCTTTATAACAGCGTGAGAAAAATTCCCCACTCTCTATCGCAAAATATTCTGCACTGGTCCAAAGGGACGCATAACAGAAGCTAGAACAAATAAAATCAGATACGTCTGCAGTGCACCGAAAACATAAAAACTAAGATACAAGAAGCAAGAATGCTCCTCCCGAACTTCACATCCGACGAAGAACACGGATCACGAACAAATCCCCCCATGAATCCCCCGAAGATATTCCGGAGACCTACAAATCGGAAACCCCGCACCAGAAACTAGGCCACAACCCCGGCTGGCAAAAGTTCAAACCCAGGACCCCCCACTCTTCGAGCTATAACATTCGCATATCTCGTGACCGACCAAGTGTTTGACCCGGAGATTTAACGCGGGCAAAAGATGAAAAAATGAAATAAAATAGAACTCAAACAAGCTCCTAATATTTGTGCGTTTCAAAAGTTTCCAAAGGCGCGATTCCAACACGAGGGAGACCCAGTCTTAGTTCGCGGCGAAGGACGAGAGGACTCGAATTTACCCTGGCATGTCAAAATTCTTTGGCAAAAATCCATGTGTACCTCGCGACCAAATGCATTTTTACAAATTACTGTGGATACAAACAGATGTGCGAAGGAGCACTCTGCCAACGAAGTAGACTAGTACCATATATCGGGGAAGACTTGAAAAGTGGGGGTTTTCATTTCTTTTCTTTTTTCGGCGGGAATGCAAATGCTCATGAAATTAAACTGTAAAATCGAAGAAATAAATCGCATAAAAATTGTCACCACGACTGCTCAATCGTAAGAAATTAATAACGATAAATTATCGTTGTTACAGAAAAAAATGTACGAAGCACGTATCATACCGAGTTATTCAAAGAATGTATCACCCAACATGTCAAAATAACTAACCCTTCAATGTAATTTTTCAATTCGGAAAAGGTCACGGTAAAGAATTGAATACATTTTTCCCATCGTTTCTCAATAAGCGTTTTCGAGACGTATGGACAGAGAAATTGGCAAGACTATTTTTTCACACTGGCAGCTGAATTTTAGGGAACTTTCCTACCATATACAAGAAATCGTGCAATGGTTTTTCCGCTTTTGTTTGCTACTTCCTAGAGATAATGAAAGCGAAATGTGCCTTGAAAATATTATGACTGCATTCCCCACGTGTCTGGGTAATTGTCATCGTCATATGTTAAGATTCTGATCGTTATTGAATGCTCATTCTCGATCTATTATTTTTCTACGTCCACCCAACTGAGCTGACTCGTGAGGTATTAGTGGAAAAATAAATAAATTAATTAAATAAGGATCATTTTATCGACTTAAAATCATAAAACTTGCTCGATGTGACTGGAAGAGAGGAATCACAAGAAATGAACTCATCTCTTTAACACCTTGAAAGTGATGAATTTATCTAATTTTTTATGGAATGGCGAGCAGGCCAAAGTTAAATTATTGGGAAAAATTTGAATGGCGGCGAAAACTAGGGAATAAAAGATTGCTCATAGTATAAGTCGTTTTCACAAAGGGTAAGAGAAAAACTTTAGCACTACCCTTCGGATGAGGACACCTGAATTCCGTGCGCAAGTGAGAAACATTCAACAACAAAGTTTGACATTTCATTTATTTTTCTTCTTTCCGCTAACGTGCTCGTACTCTCAGCCACCGTCAAAACATTTCATAGTTCATTAAACCATTTTTTAAAAGCTGCTTCGGTCGTAATTTGAATTTTTTTCAAGTTACCTGTATAAGCCTTTGGACTTCAGAAGATTTTCGAGCAAATTTTAGGGTATTCTGTACCATTCCGTAGCCAAGGGGATTCAAATGCGGATCCTGACTTCAATTTGAAAACAAAATTTTTAACAATGACGTACCGTGTCCAGAAAATTCACGAATGATTTTATCCTCGAAAAACCCCAATTCCAATACAAAAGGTCTGTTTTGATGAAATACGTTGCTTTTAAAATTTTGCTTTTCCACGATTTGCTGTTCTTTATTTAATGAATCAAAGGTACTTTCGAATCGCCTCAGCTATTGTCGAATGAAAGTGAGAATAACCTACGACAAAAACTTGAATGAATTACTTCAGAACGCTCGATTTACTTGTATGCACAATTATCGTTCAGTGCTGGATATCTTGAGAACTGTTCATCAGAAATTTCCATCAGCTCTTTTACTGCACGCGCTCTTCTGCGAGGCGCCATTTCGATATGCGCTGAAATGCCCGGATATGGTGTCTCTTCCCGAATCATTCAAAATTAAATTTTGCCTCGAAGCACCGAAAACATAAAAAACGCGACAAATATGCATGGCTATATCTATGCCCGTATTGCGAGAAAGGAAATAAAAAGAACTGAACGCGTTGAACAAATATTTATGCAAGAATATGAAATGCATGAAGAGGTTCACTTATCGCATGCGAACGACCTCCTAAACTTCTTCGCATGCATTAAACATCACGAGAATAAGAATAATGTACTCTATTGTACCTTGCACCACTAACACAGTCACTATCAGATAAATATAACCCGTAGTCTCACGAGTACAGTATATATGTATCATTCACATTTGACGAAGAACAGCAGATAATTATTTCACGCGGCTCCAACAAAAAAGAGGAACTTTAGGTCTTTGTTAGAATGGTTCGATACACCAGAAAAGCACCATTGCATAAACCTCGATTGTCCGGTATAACAGCCTGACGCTATCACCTGAATAAATCTTACTTTACGTTCTTCAAAGACGATCGAAAATTCTAAGTCACCTAACTTTATGCTGTTTTACCAACATTCCCGCTTACGTCGAAGAGCAAATTTTCCAGATGTTCTTGACGAGTCCAAGAGGCATAGGTGCTCTATTCTTAAGAAAATCATACATTTTCTGCTCGAAGTGCTCTTGTTAGCTTCTTTGTGAGCATCATGATACTGTAAGTTTAAATTCACAGGGTTTTCTACAGGAGTCAATATTTTATGAGAGGAATGAAGCCGTTCAAATGATTCCGTATTTTC